TCATTTTAATACGTCTTGATGCTTGCTTCTTTCATGTGACGTTCATTGTCTAACAATACATTATTATATGCATTATATATATATATGACAATGTATTATTGAATTAGGATACCACGTAGTGGCTAGTCAAATTAACATTTGAGACATTTGTCTAGCTACAATAACAAAAATTTAGTTAGTATTGTTGTAGATGCTCGTGATGCCAATTAGTGCAATTATAAAAAGGATAATCGTTGCTTTCCTCTACGTAAGAAATGCACACATCCTTCCACTTGCAAAAAAAAAAGTATATTTTATCGTGTAAATTTCATAATTAGAATGGATTATTTTCTTAATCCTCATTTAAGTAAGAGTAATTTATAAGAATTTATTCAAATTGAAAATTATTAAGAAATTAAACGATTGAATTATAAAATTTATACAATAAAATACGTTATTTGTGAATAATGGTGCACTGTCCCATAGTAGGAGGCAAGTATTTTCCTTAAAAATGTATAAATGAATAAATATATAAATAAATGCGAAATAAAATAAAAATGAAAAGAACCGTTTCACCCCGTCTGTTTTTTCTAATTTGCCATCTCACTCTCTCCAGAAGCAGAAGCCAGAAGAAGAGGGTTTTAGCTTGAAAACCATCCATTTGTGTCGGCCTCATCCACTTCACTTGCAGCAGGTATTGCAGTGCGCCCCTCTGATATCTGCGCTCACCACCATCAAGGTCAGTGCTTACCCTTCTCTCTCTCTCTCTCTCTCTCTCTCTCTCTCTCTCGCCTTTAGCTCAATATTTTCCCTTTCATCCTCTTTGCCTATAAATTTTCATTAGGGATGAATTTAGCAACGCTTTAGCCTCTACTTTTTACCCGAATTTAATATAAAACTGCAATATAATTGAGGAATGCCTTTTTATTTTCGTTTTTAATTTCTGGAGGTTCATGTTTTAGCTTTAGCTAGTGTTGTAACTACTGTTGATGCTGAAATATGATATTTGATGATGGGCTGTTGCAGTCCATGGCCTTTTGTGTGAATTGGGTAATTGAACTATTTGGTGGAAATCCATGTGCCCTCAGCTTCTGGGAACCGGCTTCAGAGCCGGTGAGCAGAGACTCCCTTTGATCCAGTCAGTCTTGTGCAGACTCCCTACTTGTCCCGGTTTTTGGATTACCAGTTCAAAGTCTCTAGGATGATTGAGAAATTAATGAGAAATTTGTTTCAGTAAGGTAGGGAGGTGGGTAAGATTAGCAAGGGCCCCTTAATTTGTTGGGACCTAGTATGAAGACCAAAAGAAAAGTGGTTTAGCTAATGGTCATTTGAGGCAGAGAAATGTTGCCTTGTCGGTGACTGGTTGTGGTGGGAAAGACACGGTGTGTCAGCAGTCCTATGGAGGGGACTCCGTGTAGGGGAAAATGGTTCAATTTGGTGTCCTTGGAAGACATTTCTCAGGGTACCCTGTATTTTCTTCTCTATTAAACTTGTGGTGACTCATCGTTCCAGACACTGTTTCCAAACCTGTGCGGATCCTACTTGAACTGTGATTCCACCATTGAGTTCTTGGCTTATCTTTCTTCCTCCCGTGTGGTTTATTTGAATCATAGTTTTAGGAGAAATCTAGTGTTAGGAAGTTGGATAAGTATTAGGAACTTTACTTTGCTTCCTTCCTGTGCTGACAGGAGTAGTTTATAATTTCAGGGATCTGGAGTCTTCTCCTGTAAGTGCTTTTTGATGTCTTCATTAGATAACCCGAACCGTCCTCACTTCACTTCTTTTAAGTTTATTTGGAAGTTGGCGTGCCTACTAAAGTACTGTTGCTTGGCTGGTTGTCCATGGCAAAGTCAATATCTGTGATTTGCTTCTTTATGGCCTTCTTGTCCATTCTGTTTTGTATTTTCTTTGATCTGTTTTAAATATTTGTTTTTTTATTAAAAAAAAAAAAATTATGCCTCCCTTATAAACATGCTAAAAGTTGTAAAATTAAGTCCTTGTTCCGTTATGGAATAATCATGAGTTTTTTTTTATCCTGTTCTTGGAAGTTCATTTAGTTTCATATACTTCACAAGAAAATACGTTAATTTTGATTTATGTTTTTGTCAACAATGTTAAGGCACGTCCATTCATATACTAATTTAGTTTCTATGGTCATCAATTATCATTTCAATGTAAAATGCTAGTTCACATTTCTATTTTCTTCCCCAATTTTCTATTGGAATATATACTAAAGTAAGCTTGTTGCAGGAGCTAAAAGACATAATCTTTTCATTTCCTGTGGACATCTTCATGGTCTTCCATGTTCAGAAATGCTTTAAAAGCCTTCGCTTCCGACGCAGTACTTCAAAACCTTGCTCCTTTTTCCATACCTCTCCTGAAAATTGCTCATCTGCTCTTTCTTCAATTTTGTCTGCTCCGCTGGGATCGTCACAGTTTGAAGACTCTACAAGACTATCTGACCTTGACATCATCATATCTAAAGTATCTGTTGGAAGCAGTGATGATGAAGTTCTACAGTCTCTTGCACAAGATCAAGCATGTAATAGCATTCAGCTCACGGATAAACTTGTTGATCAACTGTTTCATCGGTTTAAGAATGATTGGAAGTCTGCATTGGGTGTATTTAGATGGGTAGAGTTACGCTCCGACTATAAACCCACCCCAGATGCATATGATTTTATAGTTGACATTTTGGGTAAAATGAAGCAAATGGATAAGATAACGGGTTTGTTAGAAAAAATGCGCCAGGATCATCTGGTGACTCTTAACACCGTAGGTAAGGTTATGAGAAGGTTTTCCGGTGCAGGGAAATGGGAGGACTCTGTGAGGATATTTGATGATTTAGGAAGTTTTGGTTTGGAGAAGAACACAGAATCTATGAACTTATTGCTTGACACCCTTTGCAAGGAAAACAAAGTTGAGAAGGCCCGTCAGATCTTCTTAGAGCTGAAATCACATATCTCCCCCAATGCTAATACCTTTAACATTTTCATTCACGGTTGGTGCAAGATCAAACGGGTTGACGAGGCACATTGGACAATCCAGGAGATGAAGGGACATGGCTATCGCCCTTGTGTCATCAGTTACTCGACCATTGTCCTCTTTTATTGCCACCAATACAATTTTAGTAAGGTCTATGAATTGTTTGATGAAATGGAAGCTCAGGGGTGCGCTCCAAATGTCGTCACATATACCTCTGTCATGTGTTTTCTAGCAAAGTCTGAGGAGTTTGAGGAAGCTTTGCAGTTATATGAGAGAATGAAATCTGCTGGATGTGATCCTGATACACTTTTCTACAATTCACTGATCCACACACTAGGAAGAGCTGGCCGAGTCAGGGAGGCTGTTCAGGTCTTCAACGTTGAAATGCCTGAAAAGGGGGTTCCTCCTAATACATCGACATACAATACAATGATTGCCATGTTTTGCCACCACGGGGAAGAGCAAAAGGCCTTTAATGTCCTCCTGCAGATGGAAAATGCAGGGTTATGTAAACCTGATGTTCAGACGTACTATCCATTGCTTAAAATGTGCTTCAAAACTGGAAAAATAGACGATTGTTTGACTCAATTATTGAATGACATGGTCAACAGACATCATCTCAGTCTCGACCTATCCAGCTATACCCTTTTGATTCATGGACTATGCAGAGCAAATAGATGCGAGTGGGCTTACCTTCTCTTCAAGGAGATGATTGGTCAAGAGATAAAGCCTAGGTACAAGACATGTCGTTTTCTCTGGGACGAAGTGAAACTGAAGAATATGTTTGCCGCTGCTGATACCATTGAAGATTTCATGAAGAAACTATAATCGCATGAGAACCATCTCAGGGTACTGTAGTTCATTTGACGTGACACCGACACGTGAAGAAATGCATCTTGACTCATTGTCGTTGCGTTAAGTATGGATTTGTGTATGAAGAGATGGGGGAGAAATACTTCAGGCTATGCACAGTTGTAGGAGTCAGGACACTAAGAACAGTTACTGTTGCAGCGCATTAGGACTGGATACGTTTACTGCTGGAGATTTCACTTTCGGTTTGGAATGTCTGGCATCAACCATTTTAGGGACTGAGAGGCGTAAAGGTAAAAGATTGAGGTCAAGGAACTGGATGGGGAGGAAAGATCATACTTCTGAAAGTGTTGTCCAGAACTTGTTTTAATCAGATTAAAGGTTCCACCTCCCACCACTCCTGAGCAGAAGGAAATTAACGAGACGATCCTGGCGCTGTTCCGAAAGACTATCTCACATTATTTTTGGTACATTGCATGTCCTTGTTCATTTTTATCAAACGATTCTCCGTTTATTTGTTCAATCCAAATGCCAAAATTAAACATGACACGAGCGTGTAGGTGTGCGGAAATCATTTTTTGTAGTAGTTATTATCTATGTCCAAATCTGATTCATTTTCCGGTGTGTTCCGTTGCATCGTAGAAAAATTACCGGATTTAGGGCTGGTTTGGTGTTGTTGTGCAAACTACTTCTGATGTGCTGTGAGAATAAGCTCATCTTTGCTGCTTCACATTTTCATCTCTTTTTCACCCCAAACTGTGAAAGTAAGCTGTTTTTAAATATTTACCAAACACCTTTTTGAGGTCAGCTTATTTTTATACCCACTTTTTGTAAAAGCATCTCAGTACCAAACCAGTACTTAATCACCTAACGAATAATCTGTGCAATGTTACCCGAAATCTGTCACTCTTTTGATCATATGTTTGGCCGTTCCAGGTTGATGTGGATACCTCAAAGAGAACTTGAGCTCCATGGAGAATGGAGATGGCCTTTTTTGAAGTTTTTGGTTGCCTTCCTCGGATAAAACGAAAGTAGAGTACATATTTTTGGTTGTCTTCATCGACATCGTTGGAAACCTTCGGGTTTTTTTTGTTTTTTCGTTCTGAAGAGATGCCGGTTTACGGCAACTGGCATTTCTTAAAAAGGATTGGTCTACATCAACGGACCATGCCATGTAATCTTGCAAGGAAATTGGTACATGAAAACCAACACTCGAGCATTTTGAGGAAGTTAACTGAACCTTCTCCGTATGTATGTTTGTGTCTAACAAAACAACCCTAAACTCACTTGTATTACAAATTGGTTCCTGTAGGCTGTGGTCAACGAAAACTTATAATCGGGGAGCGACAAACTGGAAAAACAGCAAATTCAGCAAGCGATTAACATCTTCATATACATTGAGTGGATGATGCACCACTGAAGTAGGCTGTTATAGCCTTTAGAGAGCTCTGCACATAATTTTCTTCAATCTGCATATTCAATATCAATCACGGGCGTACGCACAGTGTTCAAAATTCAGATAACTATCACAAAACAAAACTAAAAAACATGATACTATTGATATTTTCCGTGCATAACACATTACTTTGTATGCATCGGACCATACCTCAACGTCTAGAGGAGGAGCAGACAACCAGCAGAGTTCTTCCACTTGGTGTAAGTCCACATTCCGCGGTAAGTACATAATGATGTTGGGCGTTATCGCTTGAGCAGCTTGAAATATTGCGTACCTGTGCTTAATGCATTAATAGAAAAATAAACATACGAAAAGAAAATAGATAACGTAGAACATCAAACTACAACTGTCTACATACGACTACAACAATAATCACTTCACTTGGTTTTGTTCGAACACTTCCCGAGGACAAAATTTACCAAACAAGGTTAAAACTAGAGAGAACATTAATATTCTAGGAAAAACTATTCTAGGGACTCAGATGTGAAAGGTTAGGAATTGATGGCAAGGAACAAGTTGGGGATGATCGTAGGTTTTATAAACATCGTGGTATCTGTAAAAATTTTATGACGTATCGGAAAGAGCAGCATACATCTGCAAGTAGCCGCCCAAACTTATTTTTATTTGATAAAAAGAACTATGATACAAAGGCTTCTACCACACCTGATCAACAAGGAGATGGACCTCAAATTGGAAAGAAGTAAAAGACCAGATATGAAACACACTCCTGCGCACCGGTCTATTTCTTTCCCTTGATTCTCCTTTGATTTATTCAGTCCAAAGGACACAAGAAAAGGGATGTGTGGAATCACTTCCCGGGACTAATGGTGAGGGACTGAGTCAAAACTCAGAACTACATCCCATATCCAGAAAAGTAGAAATTCCAAGATATGCCATCAAAGTAGCTATTTATATTATATAAACTACAAATACAAAGGATTTCAATCTGTTCCAAGCGAAACTTAGATATACTTTCAATTAATTTTTGGTCAAATCTTCTTATAACTTGCCTCACATCTGTGATTTAGATTAATGCATCGACAAATTTATCATCATCGTTATTTTAGTTCATAGAGCCGACCCCACTTAGAGGATAAGGCTTTGTTGTTGTTGTTGTTGTAGTTCATATATTCAGTAAACTACACCACACCAGTTAACGTTCTCCTTAATTCCCATCATGCAATGTAAAATGAAGACATCTTTACATACCCATCTTTTGGCTTGAGTAGGTCAAGTGTAAATTTCTTTACCCTTGTGTACGATGGGCCTCCCCAAGGTGGTGAAAGGAACACTACATCCCCCTACGAAATAAAGATACAAAATTTACATTAGTAAACGCAGCTCAAACTATTACAGAAAAATAGTTCTAAAGTTTTATACTAATAAAGCAGATGCAACTACGCAAGGTTTTATCTGTTTAGTTATTCATTCATTTTAATCTCCAGATAATATTGAATCAAATATCAAATCGTATGAGGTCACACAACAAAATTATGAATCATTATACAAAGATACGAAAAAATCTACAAATGTCATCAAAAGTTACATACCTCCTCATCGTGGGGTTGCTTACATACAGAATGATTTCATAGATTCTCAGAAATTAATACTGAGAGGAAAGCAGTACCTTCAACGATGGTGCAAGTTCAAAAAAGTCTCCAACAATAAAATCAATGTAATCTTCCACTCCATATATTTTTGCATTGTTAATGGCCATATCCACCTTTAGGGGATCAATTTCAATGGCAACAACGTGACAACGCCTAAGAGACCACAGACCAAAGATCAAAGTTATTAAGCTCTTGTAAAACACATACATAATGAGAATGTAAAAGCTTATCCAACATGCATGAAAATGGTCGTTCGATACGTAACGTCCACCTACTCTTGTCCATCAAAGATGAAACCCCGACAGAATTCAACATCCAAAACCAGACACTAAATTGAATATTGATCTATCATATAAAATCTCGTATAAACTGAAGCAAATAGCCTACAAAGTACAAACTGTCAAGAATACAAGACATTAGGTCCCCCTTTAATACCTCCGTCGCTCCAGTACTCTATCGTATTTTTCAATCAAACGATATCCACAATTTACTGCAATTTATCTGGTCTAGCAGTAAAATTCAACCCTCGGGTTTCGATAAAGTACTCAAACATAAAAAAGCTCTCAGCTTGAATGCATACTTTCTCAGGATTTAACCAAAGTTGAAAGTAGGCACTACATTTCCTGATAAACATATCTTCAAATATCAAGGCCATAAAGCTTAGAGATTGATACAACTGATTGCCAAGTAACTAATAATTTGCATAAAATTACCACCTCATATGAACGAAGTTTGGGAACTTACAATGAAGCAAACTGAATGGCATTGCCGCCAACGCCCGCGAAGCAATCGATAACAGTTGTTCTTTGGCATCTCTTGGCGTGCCCGATTGCAATCTGTTCAGGCGTGACAGAGTACCAGCCCTGTTCATCCATTCTGATCCCCTCGTCGTATCTCGAGAAGAGATCATATCTCTGAAACCAATACTTCTCAACAAGGGGACTCAACCCTTGTTCAAGTAACTTCCTTCTCCTATAAATCTGACCTGAGAAAACTAGCAAACAAATAAATGGACTATTAAAAATTCAAAAGAAAAGAACCCCAGATTAAATTTTCTTAGGGATTTTTATGAACTAATTTCTCTAGCATTGCAGTTTTCAGCAGGAAGATTTGAAAAATTAATGTTTCCTTCATTTTCTGGGAAACCCAACAGAATTAGAATACAGAAAAATGACTGATTACGTGGGAGGTGTAAGAGCTTGTTGCATTTCTTAGGACGACGAGTGCCTCTTCGCCGCCTTGAAAGTTTCTTCTGCATCCTCTGATATTGGCGGGCTGGAAATTGAATGAGAGCGGGAATTCTGGTTCAGTTCAGTGGTAGTCTCCTCCTTTCTCCTCCTCTCTTGCACCGAGTTTGATGATTCATCTTCTCCTCCGACTTTTTTTGTTTTTGGTTCAAGCAGCCAATTTCAATAAATAAATAATAAAAAACACACGCACACACACAAATAGGCAAGTCCAAAGTCCAAGGACAATTAAACGTTGCCCAAAGTTAAAAAAAACTTCTCTCTCCGTGTGAGAGCTTTTCTCTCGTAGGGTTATTTTCACTTCGAGGGTTACAAACCCAAGAAAATCTGGTGGTGTCAGTCCTAGCTTCAGCTCGGATCAATTGTCGTTGTGTTCTTACTTTCTTTCTCTTTTATTTTCCTTGTTTCTACTGTTTTTTCTCTCAAATTTCTACTCTGATCTGTTATTCCTTTATCTTCGAGGGTATTACTCTTCCTGGCTCTTCCTTACTCCGATCTTCAGCCATGAATCCTATTGAGATTGTGTGTAGAGTTCCAGTGTATCCATAGGCTCGGGTGTTTCCAACACCACCACTTTCTTCTTATTGTCTGTCGAATCCGACAGTGTCGTTCGTGGGTTTTTTGATCAGTTGGCTTCTCACGTTTAGTTGTCGGCTATCCCTAGCTTATAGATATGCTCAGGTAGCAAATTGGAGTTAGATGTGGCATCTGTTGAGGCGGTGCGAGGCGGTGGACAAGGAATCTGCGGATAGATTGGAACTGGACTAGTGGAGAAAATTGTGGAAAGTTGTGGATGCTTCTCGTTTCGGAAGATTGGTGTTAAGCTTGGGCCTAACTGTTTTTGGGCTAATTTTGTGTTTTCTAGTGTTTTAGGCCTATTTTTGTTTGTTATGTAGTCTTTGGGCCTTGGTTTGCTTGTATGTTTGTTTGTGGTGTTTAATAAAATATCATTTTACCAAAAAAAAAAAAAATAATCCAAAGACAATCCATAACATTAATAAAGGAAACAAGCCCCAGAAATGAGCCCATAACAAAGTCTAAATCGAAAACCCTAAAATGGAAATGAGAACTAGCCTCCTCCACCAAAATAGCCGCATTACCATCCCCGAGCCGCCGCCACCAAAAAGAAGAACCAAAGAATCGAACAATGGAAAAGGGGTGGGCAACCAACCCGCGCTAAAAGCGTTCCCATAATCCTACCAAATATTGTGAATTGCACGTTAGTAGCCATCGAAACCCAAAGCACGCCTCCAACCAAGTCTATGGAGGAAGAACTCGAGGAGCCAAATAGCGAAATCCGGCAGGCATAAGCTCACTGCTAGGAACAACAATTTGGATAGAATAAGGCATGAAACTCAGATAGGCGACAAGAATCCGACTTGTTAATTAGAATCTTTGAGTTGAAACTCACATAGAAAAACATAGTTGAAGATGAAAAAAAAATGCAAAATTTGTATTTTTAAAGTCACTATTAAACAATGACTTTAAATTTTCTGGCAAATAAAAAAAATTAAAAAAAAAAATTTCAGCCAGAACGATGGTGGCTAGTGATAAATTTTGGCATTAGCAACGATGGCATGTAGGTCATGTGCAATGGGGACAAAATATAAATCTTCATATGCTTATAAGTGTATTTGCCCACAATTTGTTTGTTATCCTAATAGAATGGTAATTGATCAGTAGCGTAGTCAGGAGTTTCAAATAATGGGATCACAATATAAATCAAAAAAGATTTACTTGGCCATTACTTGGTAGGCACCAGCTAGTTCCTGCCAATATATACTAATAATAATTATTATTTGTATAGGCTTGTCGAGGGTGGATACAAGATACTATGGAGTAATATTGAAAATTGTCAACTCTTGTCAACTAATGTATTTCATCGAGTATATTGTACGCACAATAAAATTGCACACAAGAAGAGAGAAAAGGAAGACAAATATGATAGGAGATATACCAAGTAGGGGAATGAGATTGTAACTTAGTTTGCCTTAGCTGTTTATTGAGGTCAAAGCAATACACTAACGCCACTTAATAATACAGTTCAGTGGTTCCGCTTCACTTGTAAGTGAGAAGTCTTAAATTCGATTCTCGCCGAATGAGAATTTGAACCACATTATTGCTAGCTCATTGTGTAGCTAAGCCCACCCATTTTCCCTTAGAGCAACTCCTGCGTATCAAATGCCCCATAGGGCAACTTCCTACTCAATCCCCTCTAGTGAACAGTAACTGCCTTTAATGAACAGTAATTACCTTTTGCATTTCCACCCCTAACTAAATAGCCATGGCAATAGGCAATAAAATATTAGTATTTTTTATTTTATAAAATAATACAAAATAATTTTATTTGTAATTTCGGATAAGATTTTCAATCGTTCTCGTTGTGACACATGTTATTATTTGAAAAGACAAACTTTGGTGATAGATTTCGATAAGATTTTTATCCAATGTCGTTGTGCCACGTGTCGTTACCTTTTCAGAATCGTTGAGAATAGATTTCTGATAAGATTTTTAACCAATTACGTCGCGCCACGTGTCACAATCTGTTTACAATCTTTGAGGGTAGATTTCGATTAGATTTTTAATGAATGACGGCATGCCACGTGACATTACAACCTAATCCTTTCTTTTTCCTCCTTATAACCCATCATCAATCTCAAGAAATCACACACCAAAATCAAAATCTCTATTATTATTCATAGTTTCTGCCTCATTCTTACAATGTCTTCTTCAAGGATGTTGTGGGAAATCAATGAGCAAGAGAAAGAATTGTTTAAGCAAGGGAAAGAAATGTTCAATCTCCAGGTGGGTGAAAATGAGATGGAAGAGGATGAAGATGAGGAGCGTAGAAGGAGAGATGACGAATCAATAAGCCAAAGAGTCTCACATTCCCAGCAAGTCATCCAAGCTGTGGCTCAGATCTCCAGGCCCAGCCATTCCGTAAACATTGATAGAAACAAGGCAACGACGAGGTACATATCTCTTGGATGATTATTTTGTCTGTAACAATGCATTCCTTAATACGTACTTTAGACGTCATTTTAGAATGGAACAACATTTGTTCAACAACATCATGATTGCTGTTTGCAACCATGATTCTTACCTTGTGCAAAAGAATGATGCTTTTGGTGTTATGGGTCTCTTCCTGAACAAAAAATTACTGCTGCCTTGCGGATGTTTGCATATGAAGCATCTGCAAACCAAGTGGATGAGATAACGAGGATAGAGAAATCAACCATTCTTGAGTCCCTGATGAGGTTTTGCTCCACAATCGAATCTATCTACACCACAGAGTATCTCCAGAGACCTACTGAGATGGACTTACAAAGGCTTCTGAAGAAAGGCAAGATGCAAGGTTTTCTTGGGATGATTGGAAGCATCAACTGTGACAACCCATCCCGAATTATTTGTACCATAGGCGTGAAATGACGATTTTGCCTTTGGTGGTTAATTGCCATTTTGGGGTGTTGTTTAGTTGTTCTTTTTCGTTGTGAACTCACCTAGGACCACACACCCACACACACACATCCGTGGACTTTTCTCTCTCCCTTCTCTCTCAGACTTTCTTCCATTTTCTTCCTCATCGTACGGACAACTTCCATCCAACCATTTCTGGCACGGATTGTGTTTATTGTTGGTGTTTTTGGACTCCTTTCGAGCTCAGGAGTCGATTGGTGGTGTTGGTTGGACTTGAAACCCTCAAAAACCCTAGAACCTGTGAACCGAGTTTTCGTGCACTGTTTATGCAGTCATGATCGCAGAGGTTTCATCGAGTTTTGAGGTTCTAAAAGCTTTAGGACGTCTTCACGAAGCTTGGAAAGTAATTTTGAAGTGTTTTGGTACCAATTTCATGGAATTTGGTTGAGAAATGAAGAAGATATTAAAGTTTGAAATTTTTCCCAGTTTCCGGCGAAATTCAAGTTGCAGACGAGAGCAACCGGCGAAGGAGGCGAATATTCCGTCAGAGTTAACGGAATATTCTAACGGCATCAGGTAATGGTCGTTCACTTCTGTTAGGGTTTTAACGAAATATTCCCTAATGGCGTCAGGGTTCCACATGCATGCCTGCGCGTGGCCGGCGCGTCTGACAATGCCTTGGCTGGAGCGTGGGGGCGCGTGAAACCTCAGAAAATTATTTTAAAAATATGGGGATGTTTGTGAAGTTGAGTAGAGCACGTTGGTATATTCAAACACTCTAATTGAGCAATGTATGAGAAGTTATTACCCAAGGTTGGTTATGTGCGTTAGATTGACGGTTTTATAGTTGTATCACATATAGGTAAGGACTATCTGAAGGATGAGCGTAGTCATGCGAGGCTCAGGGCTTACAACCCTTCTACGTATCAGTGAGTGGGCTTTTGTTTTCAATATATATATATATATATATATATATATATATATTATGATTGGTATCTTTCTAGAAATTACGTTTTATTGGTTTTATAATTGAAATGTCATGTCGAATATCATCGTTATTATTATTGTGATTGTGTTGGTTATGCTTTGGTGCCGCGAACGCTCAGGTAAGTTAGGTGAGTATGGTGTTAGTGATAAATGTGGTGTTGATGAGATTGAGTTATAGCTTATATTTCTGCACCTCGGTGATTATGCTCCACTAGAGTAGGGCCTAGCCTTCACGTGATCGTTCACCTCCCGCACTGTACGCTCACCTTGGATCCAAGGCAGGTGCCAGCCTTTCTTACAGACCACTATAGGTGGTTCCAACTCGTAGGTGACTCGTGATACATCGCACAGCCTTCATGTGATCGTAGCACTGAGCGTAATTAGATACACCAGCCTGTCGTACAGACCACAATAGGTGGTTCCGACTCGTGTGCAGGATAGTGGTTGAGGTGCTATAGATTCAACCGTATAGGTCACTTTAGGTGACTCCGGCTGACGTACTGATATTATCGGCATATTTTGATTGTTTTATCTGACCTACTTGATGCTTGTACTATTTGTTTGGATATTCTGACGCAGCATATTCTGGCATGACATATTTGAGCTTTATCGTTTTTAGCATGATTTGATATACTAGTACGTATAATATTTTCTGGAAAGTATACGGGTTTTACAGATAGGGGTTATTACTTGATATTGAAATGGTTTGAAAAACAAACTTTGTTTTTGCCCACTCACGTTTTTTGTTTTGCGCCCTTCCAGGTTTTAGGTAGCGAGGATGTGGGTGACGAAAGAGGCATTGATGCATTTCTAACAGAGCACCCTCCATGTAGGATTTTCTAGTTATCACTTGTGTAGTGTTTGTTTTTTGGACTGCACCTAGGATACTCGAACCTTTACTTTTCATTTCTCCTTCTATGTTTGTCACTAGCACTCACTAATCTTTTATTGTAAATTATTTTGTTGATTTTATTTTTCTCGTATTTTCACTCTTTTACTTCCGTATTGCGCACTTGGCTACGTCACCCTCACGTGACGGCCAATACGCTCCAATTTTTGAATCGGAGTGTGTCATCTACTGTATGCACTGGACCTGAAAAAACTGTCCAAGTGCATGGCAAGGAGCTTATGGGGACAGAAAATGAGCAAAAAGTATCATTTTGGAGGCGGTGGCATCATTTGATACATGGATTTGGCATGCTTTTTTTTATATTCTGAGAGCTCAAAATGACCTCAATGTCTTGCCCAATCCCTAGTGTTCAACGATATCCTGCAAGGAAAAGTACCAAGTCTCACGTACTAGGTCAACGAACATAAGTACCACGGGCCATATTACCTAGTACCCAAGGTGGTCATCATTTGTCAAAACAGTGCCACGTCCCCAAAGTGCAAAGGAAAAACACTTTGCAAGCTGTCAAGAGGGTGTAGGAAGGATTTGGAGCTTGTTTTGGTATCCTCCAAGCTCGTTGGACGATTGTCAATGGTGCTGCCAGAATGTTTGATTTAGATTCGCTTCGATCCATCATGATGATGTGCATCATTCTTCACAACATGATTGTGGAAGATGAGTATGATTATAATGCTGTTGATGAATATGAGCCAGACACAATGAACAATTCCAGAACACAAATATATTGTGCTCATGAGGCCACCGAAGAACCCATGCAACACGAACCATTACGAAGGGATGGACGTTACAATGAAAGGCTCATTCAACAATATACTTCACTTCATGACGCATATATTCACAGTGCCCGGCAAATTGACTTGATAGAGCACAGTGGTAATTGAAACAAGCTCAAGAAACTTAAGTTAATTTAGTGTCTTTGTTTTTATTTGGTGTGTTTATTTAATTTTATTTGGTGTGTTTTTTAAGTTCATTTTGTGAGTTTTCTTTTATTTGGTGTGTTTGTAATTTTATTTGGTATGTTTATGTAATTTTATTTGGTGTGTTTATATCCTTTGAATAAAGATTCTCTTAGTTTAAATAAATTACCAAATTAAATAAATATACTCTTAGTTTAAATAAAGTACTAAATTCAATAAATTGGAAACAACATAAAGTACTCTATTCAATAAATAAGAACTTACAACCCAAAGTGATTGGTAAATTATGGGCTCCAATTAAAAACAAATTCCCTAGTCCCTCGTGAATGGAAAATCATCACCTAACCAATTTGTGGTGCTAGGACCATCTCCTCTTGCTCTCGCTTCTCTTGCACTCCTCCTTTGCACAATGTCCGCTTTCTCCGAATTCCAAAAATATTTAGAATTTGGAGATATCACCTTTACAGGCTCCTTCATAATGTCACGATCTTGTTGAGCCCTTCTTTCTTCTTTAAGCTCTTCCCTTTCTTGCCTAAGTAGCTCTCTTTCTCTCTCGTTAGCTTGAAATAATCTCTCAGCAGTTGTAGCTTTTGCCTCCTCTCTAGCCTTATCAGGCTCAAATTTAGCCATTTCCCGCGCCAAAGTCAATTCATCTTGGCGAGCAAGTTCTTCCATATATTTTGCATAATCATTCTAGGAAGCACTCCATTTTCTCTTTGAAGCCTTCTTACCTTGAGGCCTAATTGGATAACGGGTCAACCTTGACCCTTGTTCAGGGGTTACTTCCAGCACTTGTTCTGTGTCGCTTTCATGAACATGCAAGTGATGATCGGGCGTAGAGTATAGAGGGATATTGTTCATGACAACTTTTGGACCGACAGGCACAACTCTAAATTTAGGACAATCTTTGACAATATTCCAACATTCACACCAGTTGAATGATTTTTTTTTTTTTTTTTTTTTTTTTTTTTTTTTGGTTTTGGCATTATACCAAGCTTGTGCTTGAAGTGTCTACACAATGCAAGAGAAGAAATAATTATAATCAAAGTAGCTAATATAAATTTGGGTATAGTACAAGCAAATAAATAATATATTGTTACCTAATCTACGAAATTTTCCCCACTTCGAATATTACTACTAGCTTGTGCCAAGGTGTCTCTCCAATAACTAAACGATTGACTAAGTATTCTCCAACGACTGAACATCGATTCTTTTGTTCTTTTCCTACCAATTTTCTCAAGAAAAAAGGTATGAATAAGACTTCACATTTCTCGTAACTACATCTCATTACCCGTAATCGGATCATGAGTAACTCCAACCTAGTTAGAACACAACGTAACATCTTCAATAAGCGTCCAATTCGTACTTGCATCATTAGTCATTTTGTTGGAAACCAATTGGATTGAAACTTTGGGAGAAAGATTGGAATGTGGTTGAAAGTATTTGAGAAAATATGAAATTATGGTGTAAGGTAGAAGATAATGAGAAGGTATATATAGAAAAGTAAAATCAAATTTTTTTGGACTTTTTATTAATTTTTTGTTAACTTAATTAATTTCTGTTGTTGGATTAAAAAAAATTTGAAATCCAACCCTCCAAATTGTGCCATGTGGCACAATGGTAATATATCTAATTATTTTTCCTTTTTTTCTTATTTTTAAAGACAAATAATGTGGACCATTGATCTGAAATCCAACGGATGATATTGTGCCACATCATCTAACCGTGGGGGGGGGGGAAGTTTGAAATTTTTTTACCGTTGGAAATCTAACGATCCAAAAAATTTATCCGTTGAAATCTAATGGACGAGAATGTGCCACATGCCCGCATAAACGGTAACATTTCAGACCTTTGGACGACGGGCCCCACCGACTAAAAAGTTGTTGGCGATGCGCCCCTATACGCACGTGTGCGACACGCACCAGACGTAAATTTTTTTATAACGTGGCTGACATCAGCCATGCATCATTTGGCCTCAAGCTCACGGGCCGCCGATTCAAGCCCACCCTTTCACTCGAGCCCCCCTCAGCCCAATCGCATGCATGGGCTGGAGCTAGGAGAGGAAGGCAATTGGATGAAATTATTGCCGGTACAACGGGCTATCACCCATGGTGGAGTTGCTCTTAGTGTAGGTAATTTTTTTTTAATTATCCCATGGTAGCTCCACCACTGAAAGCAATTGGTAATTTTCTTTAAAATTAGCATTTTTTTTCGTAAAGCATTTTATTAAAATTGGTATTTAATTTGAATTTGCCTTTATTTTGAGCAACAACCTCGAACAACATTTAAAAAAAAAATTAAACAAATTAAAAAAAAAAAAACTAAACGACAATGATAGTAACATAGAACTATGTGTCTTGGGTAATACGCATTGGAGTGGTTGTAGGATGCCATAATTTCATCTTATCTATCAATTCAATATTTCTTCTTTCTTGGGGTATATTTTAGGAGCTCTTTGTCAATAATTGAATCTTCCTACTTATTTTACCCTAATTTGCTCGTCTTGTCCGATGCGTTGCGTTGCTCATCTTGTTTGTTTCGTTACTACTCTTCTCAATGAATTCATCTTCTTTCCTATCTCCTATGTTGAACTAATTGCCTAACGATTTGGTTTTGGCAAGACACGAAGGCATGAAGGGAAATGTTAAGGGCTTTCTGAAAGTGGGACTCTTTATGGACTCTGTCACCTCACAGTTCAATGCCAAGTCACATGCTAACATTATAAAATATTGTGCCATAAACATGAGGTGACAGATAGTCCATGAAGAGTCCCACTTTGGAGAGTCTCCTTAGCATTTCTCAAGCATGAAAGTACAAATTGACAAAGGTGTCTTTTCTTTGGTAACATGAAAGAAAGAAAGAGAAGAAATACTAAGGAACAATTAGTCTAACTTTAGCAACTCCATAGCAGTTATCGAAAAGGGTTTGAACTAAACAGGGAGGAGGCTCCACAAGCTCTTGAAAAACCATCTCGCTATTTAAACTCAACTTGGCTAACCCGTCAGTTACAAAATTACACTCTCTATGAACATGTTGCAAATTGCAACTCTCATTCTCATGATCAAACTTCTGCACTACAAGACGACCATAGAGCATTGAGAAAACATGTAGCAGCATCACAGCTTGAGAAAACATGCGAAACATTCTCCACAGTAGAATCACAAATCTAACAGAGTGTTGCTAGACATGTGTCTTTTAAAACATTGCTCTCTAGACAAAAGTGTTTTTGCTTCAAACATTGTCCTTCAATGCTCCCAATCCTTGTTCCGCTCCTCCTTCCTTCAACCTTTCTTCACTTCACATATTTTCCCCTTTTATCTCAAAGCAAAATTAAAAAACAAAACGGTTATTAAACGATTAGGTTCTAATAACATATGCACACATTGAGGATCATGACAACTCTTTCAAATACATTGTGAAAGAGACCCATAAACCCATGTAAGTAAACCACATTATCTGATAACACCATATGCCTAATTTCTCTTTCAATCAAAATAATTATTACAATAAAACCGCAGTGTTTCCATACTACAAATATTATGTATATGACCCAATCAATTAGTTCACAAACGCAATAAGATGAACTTCAATCATTTAAGTGTTATTTGAATTTTCAATACACTCTAATGAAATTGTAAAAGCAATATCAATCTACATCCTAAAGAATTTTCAATTTTCCATGGGCAACTGAAGTCTTTGCATGCTCCAAGCTACACAACGCTTTTTGAGTTCCACTCAAACCCGAACATGATGGACTGCCTCCTAATGTGACTGCAAAGTAAAGATAAATGGTGCAGAGGAAAGCCAGGAGTGCTAGGGCTGTTAAGAGGAAGCGGTGTCTCTGAAAGACTGTCGACCAGCTACCCAACTCATTTTGTGAGAATTGCTTTCTAAATGATGCTGACTTCCGAACAGGAGAAGACAAAATGCTCTCAAGAACCATTGTACAGTATGTACGGACCTTCCTCAGACAATCTGAAATTTGCACAAACGTGTGTTCAAGATGACAGCTAAAATAGTGAAGTTTCCATGCTAAGGAGGAAGTTTCAAAGATAAATTGCTATTGCAAACAATGCATTGAAGGGCATGGTACGGTTAAACAATGAGATCAAGAGTATAGAGTTGAAGATACATGACAATACTAAAAGTATGACTGAGCTTAACAAATTTGTCTTCGGTTATAATCAACAACAGTCGCATTATGACTGGATGCAGTGAAAAAATATGAAGAAGATAATCACTATAACTTCCGAGTGAAATTCTACAGCCATTCTTCAGATGAGAAACATGCCAACAAGAAGCATTTTCAACAATCGCAATTAACACCCTCAAACAAGTGAGGGTGTGGGAGAATTATGCTGTACATGATACTGACACGTCATGATACAGAACAATACTGAGAGTTCATTGAGCACGTAATGATAACAATATTTCAGACTACCCTAGGTGTTACTGCCCAATATTCCAGAACTTGACACCATCTTTTACAACCCAAAGGCAGGTGCAGAAGAACAACCGTAATGAAGCAAGCAGTTCTAATAGCATTGAAATAGACTTGCAAAACAAAGACAATGAGTGCTTTGATTCACCAGATATACATCATGATTAACAACAGCTGACCTTAATTTAATAACAGAAAACAAATGATTCCACCTTGTAGTTGAGAATGCGCTTCATATATCAAAAGTTTGTCCTCAAGTTAGTCCTCGTTTTCCATAAATTTCGTTTTCCATAAATTAGTAAGTCGAGAATCCCGCCCATTTACTCGTACTACAAAAGCTACCCCTAACGGTCAAGGGTCATGAACTTCTCCTGGGCTACAGCAGCCTAACCAGTTCACTAAGGTTAACATAAGATTTCCAAAAAGAAGCATTGAAAGTTAAAACTAATACTAGATCAAATGGCTGACAGTGGATTAAAAGTACACTCAGTATATTATGAAACCAAAAACATTAAACATCTACCAATTAAAGAAATTCAGACCTCACAAGAAAATAAATGCACCCATGTAGGGGTACACAAATAACTAGGGGATGCTATCCACACACCCATTTTTACTTCTCACACACCCTTTGTTAATTACTGTCATTTGATCTTCTTTATTTCATTCGATCCGAGCCCTAAAATTGAGAGGGGATGTGTCAATAGCAAACCCCATTAACTATTCTCCTTTCATATCCATAAAGGTTGGATCTTGATATGTACAATAACAACAACACCTATGAAAAACCCACTTGACATTTACAATCAAGAATCTCTAAATCAAACCCACAACCCCAAAATCATGTCATTCTCACAAAACCCACATCCATAAAAACTCTAATTAAAAGAAAAACAACCATAAATTAAAATATAAAATAAAATAAGAAAAAAGAAAAAAGCAAAACAAAGAAAACCCAGGTAAGCAGGAGCTCAGATCTGAAGGAAATGAAAAGGAAAAGACGAGGGAGACTTACAGATGACTCGATCACAAATTTTCTTTTATTTATGTTGCCGTGTCTGTTGGGTCTCCTGAGTCGTCGTCGTCGTCGTCGTCCTCTTCTTCTTCTCCCTTTTTATTGTGTGAAGGTATTTCGGGGTGGAGGTTAGGGAGAAGAAGGGAGAGATGAGATGTGATGACAGGTCCCTTTTTCTGCGCCTTGTACGCGCTCAAGGGCCGTTTTAATGTCCCCAGACAGGCGTTTGGCGTTAGTCAGTACTAGATACGGTGCTGTCGTTTTACCTTTTTTATTTATTTATTTTTTCAATGTCGTTTCACCTTATTAATTCTCACAAGTTCGTCGCACATAGAAACTATTTTCTTTTATTTTTTGGGATGCTTTGGATTTTTTATTTATTTTTGGTTGAAAACGGGGCTAAAAGTACGAGTCCAAACAAACCTACTTAATGATAAATCTTGACCAGGGCATCCCAAGTCAATTTTTAAGGAACTAATTGAACAAAAATGAGGAGTGTCAAAATAAAAATGACCTAAATCTAAATCAAGATTATAGGTCCCTCAACTGTCTGCCACAAAGTTCTTTTTTTAGTAGACGTGTCGAAGTTCGCATTGCCAAGATCTTGAAAGCAATTCTCGGTAGCCCAAAACAAAGGGGCCTAAAGGATGATTATTGCCAACGGCTTGCAGTACCAAGAGAACTGTAATTACTGAGTCTGATTCAACCAGTAATTTATGAATCCGTAATTTTCATGCCAATTGTATGCTCAGGTAAAGACCTCATAGTTCAGCAGTGAGAATCTCACCTGTGCCCAAATTGGCACAAAACCTAGAAATCCATTTACCATCAAAATCTCTTAAAACACCATCTACTCCAATAGAATTATTATTTCCCTTCTTGCAACCATCAACATTAAGCTTAAACCAACCCGAAGGAGGAACACCCCAATGGAGAAAAGATTCAACCTATGTGGTTTATCAATCTTGTGAGTATTAGCCTTCAACCATTCACGAAGATAAGTACAACTAGCAATTGTAGGCTCATCAGTCATTGCAAATCCTGCTCAAAAATAAATTTATTTTTCTAATACCAAATAAATCAAGAAACAACGGAAAAAACTAACCTCCACTCTAAACCCCACCCCCCCCCCCCCAATAAGACAATTTTATTAGTGAGATTAAAATGAAGCCAATCATGAAAATCATTGTGGTCTGACTGTTGATTAAACATTCCCAACCTTTACCAAACTTCTCTTGTCTTAGCGCAATCTTTAAAAACATGAGCTGCATTCAAAGCCCCAACTACACCTTTGACACTCAGGGTTATCAGTCATACCCCTTTTCAGCCTTTGTTCATTAATGAGGAGCTTATCAAGAGACAACAACCATAAGAAACTCTGAACTTTTGGAGGAATATGAAGTTTTCAAATGAGATTGCATCGCTAGTTAGGAAAACCACTAGAATTAATGGCCAACATATAAGTAGATTTAACGTTAAGATATAAAGTAAAGGTTTTTAACCACTTTAACTACGAGATCTTTATGTCACTTCTTTGAATGAATGAAAAATATAATGAGAAGAATGAATATTTTTTGTTACAAGAAAAAACCCAAGAGAAGAATTGAACACAAAACCAAGCGTGCAAAAACGAATGTTATAAATCACTTGAGCTAACAGTCTCGTATTATATAATAGTTTTGAATATACTTAAAAATAGAAGAATTTTGCTTTTTTGACACCAAAATTATATATATAATGAGGGGATTTTTTTTCGCAAGTACCACCTGAACTTGTAAACATGTCGATATTACCACCTAAACTTTCAATTTATATTTATCACTTAGGCTCTTTTAATTGTTGTAATCTACTACCTGCATAACTTTCCATCAATTTTGCCATTAAAACATGTCACATGTAGGGATATTTTTGTCAATTCACCTCATAAGAATGACTACTGCTTGAGTCAATATGGTGCCAAAATTGGAAGTTTGTATAGCCCCAGTTCGTAATCCCCTCCATAAATATTTGAAAAATTAACTTTAAATAAATTAATATGAACTAGACACTCACTTGCTGACCTACCAAAAAAATCTTGAACTCACTGTAAATTAAAGATTAGAATTTTGCATGATTTCTACACATGATAGTCATTCCATAAAGCTTAAAAACAACATAAAACACACCAATTTCTACGCCAATCTGACTCAATATCCTTCATCCCTCTTCACTTAATGCCAATGTAGATGGGGCCAATCAATTTTCACTTCAATTTTTCAACAACTCTTGACAAAATCAAACTCAAAATCAACTTCTCCCTTTTCTTTTCATGACCTAACTCTAACACCGCTACACAAAAAAAAAAAGCATTTTGCCTTCATTACAAATTGACTCCAACAAACCCTAGGAAGTGAGTTGACAAAAATATCCCTCCACATGAAGAGCACGCAACATGTTTTAACAGAAAAATAGATGGAAAGCAATGTAAGGAATAGATTCTAATAGTTAAGAGAATCTAGGTGGTAAAAGTTAAAAATTGAAAGTTCAATTGGTAATCAAATTTAGAAAACCGAAAATGGGAATCAAACTCAGAAAACATAAGTCTCCAAAACCAATCTAAATATGAGCCGAGTTTTGATGAACTAAATGTGAGCCAAAATTTACCGCAAACTCAAACTATGTCTAGCTGATTTACATTCTCAATCAGACTTTTGGTACAACGGTCTTCGAACTAAGACCCCGCTATTTCTAAAATTCAAACAAATGCCTTCTCATTTACAAGTGAAAATGAATGCTACTACACTGTATTACTAAGTTAGGCTTTTTTGTTGTTGAAATACAATGATTTATTTACGCTAAGAGGTTGAAGAATAACTTGATTGCAAACTCGCAATTTATGATATTGAACTTTAAACATCTCTTACTTATACATAAAAAATAAAAAATAAAAAAAATCGCTAAACTGTAGTACTAATAGTTTTCGTTAGACTGCCAATTAGACTTAGAGCATCTCTAAAGGAGATGTCAAAATATAAATGTCAAATGTTAATTTGATGACTGACGTGGTAATGTCAGATTTTCTCTTTTTTCTAACCGATACTGTTTTGATTATAAATGATATTTGTACGATTCATTTTAAAAAGAAATCAATTAAAATAAATTTTCAATATCTATAATTGTTGCATTAATGAGACCCACATAATAAAATAATTAAAAATTATTTGACATCACCTTTTTTCATATGTCAAATTTGACATATGAAAACGTCAATCTACATAGAATTGATATATCGGTTGGAGCTTGTTTCTACCTTCAAATTTGATTACATGACATTCCACTTAAGATTTGACATCTCCTTTGAAGATGGTCTTAGGTGTTCGATTCTCGTCAAAGATAAATTTAAACCATATTATTACTAATTCACCATCATCGCTCTTAGTATAGATAATACCGTTTGGTTAAAAAACTAAAAAAATAAATGTCTCCGTTAGACTTATATCACTTGCGGAGAGGGTCAAAATAAAGGGTACCCTAAAATAAAAACTTGGATAATTCCCGAAACCAAAAAGCAGTCTTATTCTTTGTCCGTGTTATTTAGCAGGCTCTGACTTGGAATTATTCATCTTCCCCTTCTTCCCCTTCTTCCCCCTTTGCTCTCGTCCATATTCCGAAAGGTAGGCCCTCACTCCTCGATTGCATTTCTTTACAACCAGAGCTTTATGATTAGGGTTCCTGATCTACTAGATCGTCGTTTTGCTGATCTGTATTTGAATCTGTTTTGATCAATAAATCATATGTTTTGTTTGATGGTTAGGGTTTTCGCATCAATTTATGTTCTCAATCTGATCGAATTTTGTTTCTTTTCTTATTAGAGTTCCAGTTTCAAACCATACATGCTTTCATTTTCTTTGTCCAATTTTTGAATTGAGCTGCAATCTAATAAGTTAATGATAGTGACGATTGGCTCGAGGCCTGATATTTATTTGAATTTTTCGAATTTAGCTCAAAATTTCATCAGGGTTTGTTGTTTCTTTATCGAATTTTATACCTTCATGTGACAAGGTCTTGATTTTGTTGATTAGTTTGCTTATTTGAGGTTGAATCAGCGGTCAAGTGTGAAAGAAGAAGATGTGGGCAGCTTCGTGCCTGGCATCATGCTGCGCTGCTTGCGCTTGTGATGCTTGCCGGACAGTGGTGTCAAGTATTAGCCGCCGGTCTGCTAGGATTGCTTACTGTGGGCTCTTTGCGCTTTCTTTGATAGTTTCATGGATTCTCCGTGAGGTTGCGGCTCCTCTCCTCGAAAAGATTCCTTGTAAGCCACTTATTCCGTCATTCCAATATTAGTCTGTGGTGTTGTGTTATCATCTTGTATTCTGTACAAATGTTTTGAATGTATTGTAATGCTTTATAATAAAATCATAATAATATAGTGTCCTCCAATGAGTGAAGAATTTTAACTTCCCATGGAAGTTTGACTACAACCAATGATGAGAACGATTATATTTCATCGGTCAGTTTTAGGTCAACTTTAAACTTGAGGAAATTAGAAATTACTTGGTTCTTGGTTTTATTGGTATATCATATTTGGTGGTTGGACGTGACGCTAATCTCATCTTGGTTTTTGATGCAGGGATTAATCAGTTTAACGAGACACATAACAGGGAGTGGTTCGAAACAGATGCAGTGCTTCGTGTTAGCTTGGGAAATTTTCTCTTCTTCACTATTTTATCAGTTATGATGGTTGGTGTGAAGAATCAGAAGGATCCCCGTGATAGTTTGCATCATGGTGGATGGATGATGAAAGTTATATGCTGGTGTCTCTTAGTGATCTTCATGTTTTTTGTACCAAATGAGATTGTTAGCTTCTATGGTAAGCAGCATTAACTATCAGGGATTTGTTTTCGTAGTGCATGAAATTTCCACTTTTTCATCTATGAATAGTTCCAAGCACTGTAAATATAAAAACACTAGAAACGGATGAAAACCACTGTTAATTGTACTGTGGAAAATCTTTATGGAGTACCAATGGGTTTTATTAATCTTTATGGAGTACTAATAGCATTTGGATTAATATGTTAATTCTACTGTGGAAAATCTTTTCGATTGTTTGACGAAATTTTAACAGTGAAATATCATGTTTGCAGAGACAATTTCAAAGTTTGGCTCGGGATTTTTTCTTCTTGTACAAGTTGTACTTCTGTTGGATTTTGTTCATGGATGGAATGACAAATGGGTTGGATATGATGAGAAGTTCTGGTTAGTTTATTATTTTCTTCATTATCTATTATTCAAATTCATATTTCTACATTCTTTGGCTGATTTTAACTTGTATCTTCATCATTATACATAGGTACGTTGCACTTTTTGTTGTTTCTCTTGTTTGTTATCTGGCAACATTTGTCTTCTCTGGACTTCTTTTCCATTGGTTCACACCATCTGGACAAGACTGTGGGCTCAACACCTTCTTTATTGTCATGACTCTCATGTGTGTCTTCGTGTTTCTTATAGTGGCACTGCATCCTGCTGTAAGTTTGTATTTATGCATGTTTTTTATGGTTTCAATTACTCTTGTAGCCAATGATAATTGTTTATCAATAAAGTAACAGGAAAAGAAGAAAACAGCTACCATAATGGTATGATACTTGCATACATAGATGCAATTGAAAAACAAATTAAAAATGATATAATAAAACTTGTATAAGGTTGTGGGATTGTTGCATTATTTGTTACTGTCTTTATGAATGCAGAGAGACTAGTTATAGATTCAGTGATATACCAAAATTACAGAGCACACATAGGCAATAAAATCCAGCCCTTATTTTATTTTATTTTATTTGTTTCAGGAGGAAATATGATAAATTGACCCTTATTTAAGACTGTTTTGTAGATAACATGATTAACTGTCTTCTTGGGTTAAAACCACAAGAAATTTCACTTTCCAATTATAGATATGGCAGACTTGGTGATGAGCGAGGTTTTCTTTAACTTGATTCAATTTATTACTCTCTCTGCATTCTGATGATAGCAGCACGTCTCCATTTTAAATCCAGTTAACATAAAGAGTCTACATGTAGCTTGGCTTCTTTGTACTGTAGTAACTTTGGTTATGAATTAACTCTTATATTTTACACGCGTAGCCGTGGTATATAGATGTATGGAAGTTCATGCTTGTTAGGGGGACCTTTATGGTTTCTGAATTATAATTTTAATGCTATACAGGTAAATGGCAGCATTTTGCCAGCATCAGTTATATCTATGTACTGCACATACCTCTGCTACAGTGCACTTGCCAGTGAACCTAGGGACTATGAGTGCAATGGTCTTCACAAGCACTCCAAAGCTGTTTCCACTGGGACACTTACCTTCGGTTTGCTAACCACTGTTCTTTCTGTGGTGTATTCTGCTGTTCGTGCTGGATCCTCCACAACACTTCTCTCCCCACCAGGTTCTCCCCGCGCAGGTAATTATCTATGGAACCATTAGAACTCTTGGTTTTTTTCGAGATGTGAAACTTTTCTATACTATATGAGAAAAATGTGTTTAAACTGTCCTTTCCAAGGGTTGGTTATGTTGATTTTGTTTCTTGAACAATTTTATTTGATGTTTGGTTGCATTGAAAGGCTATGCAGTTTTGCCATGCAAAAAACTGATACACCTTTTTGTTATTTTTTTTCTTTTCTGGCAAAGGCGCTGGAAAGCCTCTGCTTCCATTAGACAAGGTTGATGAACACGAAGAAAAAGAGAAGTCCAAGCCAGTGTCATATTCGTATTCATTTTTCCACATAATCTTCTCTCTTGCTAGCATGTACTCGGCCATGCTTCTGACGGGGTGGTCAACCTCTGTTGGGGAGAGTGGGAAGTTGGTGGACGTTGGGTGGCCATCTGTGTGGGTGAGGATGGTGACTGGTTGGGCAACTGCAGGTCTGTACATCTGGTCTCTTTTGGCTCCTATTCTGTTCCCCGAGAGGGAATTCTGAAGCCCGACACCACCAAACGAGAGAAAAAGGTTTGCTCATTGACGTCATTAAGTATATGTATTGTGTGTACGCTTCTTCTATTGTGTACTTAAAAAGTACTATCAACTATGTAAATAGAATGGCTTGTGCTTGACTTTTAGAATAACCAAATCTTGTTGGAAAAACTACATGGTATTGAGCTTGACAATATTATCTTTTGATGTCCCAGAAAATTTCTGTTTATTTTTATCTGTGCATATGGTTCGACCTTACTTAGTGGGAAAAGACTTTGTTATTGTTGTATGCATATGGTTTGTACACAACCCGAATGCCTTTCGTTTGGCGGGATGTTTTGAAAGTGCAAAATTTGATTGCTAGAGTTGCAAAATGCGGTGTCACGAATATTGCGTCGACTCATCAAGTTATTTGAAGGGATCATCTTTACAAAACCACTTAGTCATCGAACAATAACATACAGAATAGACGAATAACACAATGTTTCTAGTAAAGTGGACGGTCACGATAAGAAAGGTTTTCGGATGCAGGATATATGCTCTTAACCAATTGAGTTGCAAATTCCTTGCAAGGAAGGAACAAAGTTAGGGGTCCCTGCGAGATGGGTTTTTTCTTCATGAGTGCGAGAGAGAGAAGGTGACCATGGTTGGAGGTTTGCACGAGAGAGATGTAAGAGTGGCAGAGACAATGAAGGAAATGGCGTTGGGTTTCAACGAATACATATCAACACGAAATCTTATACAAAATTTAAAGTTAGAAATCAATTTCAATTGCCATTCATAATAATACCAAAAACTGGAGTACGAAAAGAATGTTACACTTAAAAATCCAATTTGAAAAAGAAAAAAAAAACAATTACTATTTAATTAAATTCATTTTCTTGCGGACATTAAGTCGCTCCAGACACTCCACGCACCGCCTTCAAGCGACAATGATGCGGATTCAAACCAATAAAACCATGAATCCAATGGGTTAAAGTATAACTGGGTGTTTAAAACAATCATTCAGTCCTCGAAATCTCCAGCGTTCTCCAATAGATAGTTGGCTGCCAGTTCCTCGTTGCGATCGCATGCCAGAAAAGCCTCAATGACCAACGCTCTGTCAAATCCCATCGCCTCAAGCTGTAACAGGGAATGCCAAACTAATCAATACTTATGAAAAGATTATGTAGCGGTTGTTAGGAACAGAGAGAATACATACTCGTTCAATGGCCTCCTGCTCGGCAGGGGTTACATTGATGGCATGAGGCAAATCTTGGTCAGGACCGTCAGGCTGATCAAATATGTCACTGGAAGATGGGGAAATCTTATAAGAAATACAAGTCATGATACTGACAAGTTCTATAGAAACATAAACCAGTGAAGATACGGTAAGCTTTAACAAGCCCCAATGCAAATCCAAGGGATGGCTAAGAGTCAGAGCCTCGGAAGATAAGTGGGTGGAGAAAAAGTACTTGATGAGCAAGCAATTGTGTAACTGGGCCCTTGTTTATGACTAAAATGTACCAAATTCATATGTCAATACTCACCCTTCAGAACCCTCAACGGGTTCATTTATTAACTGAAGGAACTCAGTATGGTGCTCCTGAATTAATCTTAAAAGCTGGGGGTTTTGCTTTCCGAGCTCCTGCAGCATGGGCTGTAACAAAAGCAACATGAAACTATTTAACACATTATAAGAAACCATCACAATATTTAATGTCAAAGACGTAAAGCAAATGCAGACCTGCAAAATTTGTGGGTTTGATTGCACCATTGAGCGCAGCGCTTGGAACTATGATGGAAACAGGAAAAAGGTAAAGCAAACCTTTCAGGACCGCACGTTAATAAGGCAAGCAAACCGAATCAAACTCAAATATAAACCATTAAGATGAGACAGTTTAGCCAAACACGGCTTGCAACTGAGGAAAAATATGTCCTCAACTTCATTGAAAATCCAAGATTAAATAAGAATAAAGAAAGAGATGGGAACAATTTACAATAATCTACTATCCCCTCACTGCATATGACCCATCTACCCTATCTGCACATTTCTGTGATTCATGAGAACCGAACCAGTTTACACATTATCACAAAATTTCCAAATATTAAAAATGATACTTGTGGTTTTCCATATACGTCAAGTTTAATCCTGTGGTTTCAATTTGTCAGCCTCACCCTTGGCGTTTTTGTTTATATTTCTGGTACCAAACATAAACCAAGGAGAGACTGACAAAATTGATACCACTTGACCAAATTTGACATATTAGGCCAATTGTTAACATAGTCAAGTAATACTATCATAAAAATGTCTGCAAGTTTAATCATGTTTATGTGATCGTTTATAATATCAACATCCAATATACAAAAAGTACACCATAGCTGGGATACAATATAACAAGTTTACCTGGCGATTATTCCTAAGGAAGTCGAGGGATCCAAGGGCCCCAGCGCCAGCACCAGAGAGTGTTTCCTGGAGGATTCCAGTTTTAGATACAATGCCTCAATAAATGTACAAAAACCATCAAAGAAGCCTGAGTCTTTACCTGAGGAAACATATTCAAAGGAGCAGAGTTAGGCGCTCCAGAGACGGGGGCAACATCAGTTGCCTGACTTGCAGGGAAATTACCTACAGGAACTGCAACTTCTGTTGTTTCTGGTATACTCTGAAGAACAGTATGTCAGCAGCTACACAATAGATCAACATCACAGCAACAAGTTTAAGAGACATACAGAGTACAAGTAGTCCACTGCTCGCTCCGGATTGTTATAAGCTGCTCGTAAGGCACGTGTAACTGTTTCTTTGTCCCAGTTGCCACCACCCATATCCATTATTTGTTGAATAGTCTGCTCAAGATTAGTACCAGCAACTAAAGTTGAAGCAGCTTGACCATAGGTATCACCATGCGCACTGCAGTTGTAACAGAGGGACTTAAGATCGTTATGTTATACCATAATACCAATAAAAGTATTAAACTATGGCAAGAGGAACCCAACTCTGTTATTTTGAGTCAAATTATAGAGAAAGAAAAAAATGAAAAGAGGATAATAAGAGGCTTAAGAGCAGTTTCTTGAAGCAGCCAATGTACCAACAAGGATAGTTCATTCACTAAACCCTAATTCACAATTGAACATATAGTGGCCTCCTAATTCTTAACGAAACCTACACAAGTATCTGAGTGAGCATGCACAAGGTCTAGACAGCATGGTCCACACACTGAGCTCAGCTCAAGAACTTGACTTTAAGGCTCATATGTTGTATTGAAAGTTGGGCACCAAATTCAACCTTAGTTTCTAATTACACATGAATAGGACATACCACCATTCCACACTGCCTTGTTCAAAAGTAACACAATGACTACATATACTCTCTTCTTCATATATAAACTTAAATAAAAGGTTCCAGGGGCTATACAAGTAATACAAGGCAAAAATCATTAAAAAAAAAAAAACCAATGGAGGCTACAAGAGGAAAGAGAGACAACTCTAGTTATCCACACGAGTAAGAGTGTCAAAAGATTAGCCCTTAACTCAAACAAATGATTCCCATCAAAAGATGCTGGGTAAAGTCCACTGATGTACTTGATTCCTTAGCAACAAATGCAACTTAATGCAAGCATCATATGCAACAATCTAAGGTAATTCAAATTGTAACCATTTACACATACAAGTTATTTGTACAACATATTGTTAAATATAACGTCAGGATAAAGTACAATACCTCGAAGTGTCTGGAGCAGATGTGGTACTCTGCAAGGGTCTGCGGCAGCACAAAAAGTAAAAGTATGAATCTAATTTAATATGAACACAAGTTCAAAAGGTTGTTTGTCATGTAAACTCACGGTTCTTGTATGGGAGCTTCAGTTCTGTTTGTAGAATTTGTGGTTGGTGGAGTTGTAGGAGGATTTGTAGAGGCAGGCTGCAACACAGAGATACAGCATTTAGCCTATACATGAATAATATACCCAAAAGTAAATTAACAAATGCCTAGCAACTAATATCGAGAATAATACCTGAGAAGAAGAAGACCCTGCTAAGCCTGAAGTTTTATTCTGTGAAAATTTCCAGAAAGAAAACTTTAGAAAGAATGGTGGGAACAAAAGCATATGCACATTGCAGAGAAAGCAAACAATCTTGGTTAGTGTCTTTTCTCCATGTTTCAGAATACGGTTAACCAACATGTTAACTAATCGATTACGATAAATTCAACCAAATTCTGCAGTTTTTTTTAGTATTTTTCCTGTCCCATATTCTACTAATCATGGTGTTAATAATAATCCTGCCTCTCAAATAAGAAACATAGTCTCATTTAAAAAACAGAACAATGTAGGGAACAAGTTGACCAATAGTCTAGTTAGAAGATGCTAGCTAAACAATTCAACAAAGACAACAAACTCAACTAAACAACAAAGATACATGGCAGCAGACTAACAAAAAACTAATGTACCGCAACATGCAATATAGCCTGAAAAGAACTATTCCTAAGTTCTGAAAATGCAAATACCAAAAGGGAAGCCAAAACCAAATTGATCCCATTGAAGATCCATCTCCTCGTCCCTTGCTCCCCTAAGAAATTCTTCCATTCCTCTACATCTGAACCACTCAAAGATTTCCATCAATGATATCGACTATGGCTCGGTTTAAAAGGGTCCTCTCTTCCTTACCTAATTTCATTTTTAATATTTTCCTTCTACTTTTCTTCTCTCAGACCTCATCTCTCCTCTCACACTCACACACACACCCGCATAGTAGTACTTCTAATATAAATTAAAAGATCTTGACTTTGCCGATTCATCATTTTATTCACTTAAGAAAAGGCCATAACCCTCTAAAACTGGATTGATTCATGCACCTCATTCAGAAGAAAAGCCAAAAAAATTCTTTATTCGACACATTCATGGAAGCTCCATTAATTATACTGTTGTAATCATGCAGTCCATATCATGACAATTACTTTGAAATCTTACTCACAAATGCCACCATGTTACTTTAGTTGCCAGAATAATCACACACATATCTTAAGCATTGTTAGACTAACTACTTTGATTAAATCACAAATAATCCCAACTAATAAAGCATTTCATCTTCCAGAATTAGAGGTGTGGAAACATGTGTATATTGCCCGATTTACTAATCATTCCTCTGATACGAATGTTTAACCATTACTAATCACTCTCATATCCTAAGAATTCGAAATATCATAAATGCCCTTGGTTAATTCCATATCAAAAAGACGACAACTTCATTAAAGATGGATAAACAGTAAAAAAATAGTTTAAACTGAAAAATTACATGAACATGCGAAATCCCAGTAATTTATCCACATGGCCAGTTGAGCTAACCCAACCTTTCTTGTGATTTGCTTTCTTTGATCATTATCTATTCCCTTCTATATAGATATTCACTATAAAAAAGAGCCAAATGACGCGGGCATGAATGCGTGCCAGAAGGCACAGTACTAAAGTCGCACACTAATTATAGTATATACAAGTTTTTAGTAGAATAGTAAGGCATTACCATTTCTGTGTTTCTGAACAACATAAATAGTTTCAAAGGATGGAAATAAAGGGTAATCAAGATCAGACAAAACACACATGTCGGACTCAAATCTAGTAAAATCTAGATTATTAATGATTCTCTGACTAGAACTTGCCAAATACCCCTAATAATAAACTTATTTACTAATCTTATAACCATGAACTAAGCTTCCAAAGCTGACATGAAATCATACAATTAATTAAGACATCAATCAATAAAAATTGGTTGCCGTATCTGAATAAGAGTTACTTTGATTGCAATAGCATATTGCCTTGGATTTAAAAGAGGATTACCTTGCTAAGCATGACAACAAGAAAACCGTCTTCTGTGACCTTGTTGTCAGCCAATGTAGTTTCGTCTTTCAAGACCTTCCCATTGTGAATCAGTAACTGCTGTCCACATGGGTAATTATCTTTTCCTTGTATATCCTCAATGTTCTTCTTCACAGCCATAACCTGTATTCGAAGTAACATAAGTACATTACGCGAATATTCAATTTCAATTTTCTAATTATATCAAGCTTCTCTATAGGCTATAGCCATTCTTGTATGCAATTATGCTAACGTGATATGCGAATAAACGGACATAAAATTAAAATAAATTTTCCACATATATAAAACAAAATTAACATTTCTTCCATTGGACAGGAATGTGGTTCCCAAAAGCGGAAAGAAAAAAGAAATTGGAAGTATTACTCTGCATTGACATTGTGCAATTACTTGACAAGCAATAAGATATAAAAAGTTACAAAATCTCAAATTTCCTCAAGATTTTCTTTCCTTATTTTCTTACCAACCAAACAGACTGAACAGGAGCATGGAATTCAAATTTCAAAAAAAATGTAAAAAGGGAGAAGAAGAAAGATGCTCACGGCGTCAGTGGGCTGAACCCTAATTTCGAAATGGCTGCCCTTGAGGGTCTTTACAGTGAGCTTCATCTCGGCGGATTGGCAAAGTCCAGAAACAACAGCGTCTCGATTGGCTTTAAGAGAGAGACAGAAAACCCTAGAAAGCGAAGGCCGAAGCCTTTAAAGAGAAGGCAACCGAGTACAGGCAAAGCGCAGTGTACTGTGTCCCGCTTTCATCTCCTTCGTAATAAATACTGTAATGCACGAGAGGCGCACGTGACTTTTATGGAAATTGTACATAAGCCATGGGTGCAAAATGAATGGCTTAAATATTAAATAGTCTCTTTGTTTTATCAGTCAATTCAATTCCTGTATTTTTAATTTGGTCAAATTGGTCCATGTGTTTACATCTATTAGCCAATTCAAGACATTCCGTTAAAAGATAGTTAAAATTGACATGTCCTAAACGCATAGTACTCAAGTGAATTGAACGAAACGTCAATTTTTAAAGATTGGCATCGTATCTATTTAGTGGGTGTAAATAAAATTACACCGTTGTCCTCTCACTTGCTTGACACATGTCAATTTTAATGATCCTTTAACAGAATATCTTGAATTAGCTAAAGGATGTAAACACATTAACAGAATATCTTGAATTAGCTAAAGGATGTAAACACAGGGACTAAATTGGCTGATAGAATAATACACAACGACTATTTTGAGATTTCAACTAAAATCAATATGAGAAATATTAATGAAACTTTTCCAACAGTGAGACTATTCATAAACTTCTATAATATGTGTGGCTCAATATATATATTTTTTAACAGAAGCGATAAAGTGTTTCATTATCAAGACCAACAAATACAAGAGGTGTCAGGCGAGTATATTTGCTCTAGTGATTAATTTCTTAATTTAGAAATAATTCGTCCAAATCACAAATAAATTTAAGACCCTATACAACTAATGCAATAGACCAACACAAGCAAGGATCCCAAAGTGGACCTGTAAAAAAAAGGGGCAGAGGTGACAGATCAATCAACTATGCCCTCACATACATGCATAAAGCCATCATAAATAGCGAAGCCACCACAATCCCCAAAGTAAAACAAAAGCTACTAAGCTAACTCGCTTCAAGTGCTACAAGCAAAATACATATAACAAAAACTAAACTAATTAAAGCTGATAATGTGTCCACAAAGAAGCGCGGGAACATGACATAAGGTAAGCGTAGTAAGGACATATGGGTCAGGCGTCGGTTGACAACAGATAGAGGCTTGAGGAGTTCTACACCAAAGCTACTGTCGTTGCCGCCACACCACGAGCCCATAACCTACATAGTTTGTTAGCACAAGAAGTCATCAAAGGTATCATCCATCTGGGAGCAGAATATGAGATTTTAGAACACTAGAGTCGCGTGGGTTGCAAGTTGATAAGGGCAGCAAAGAGTGGCAAGAAAATAGGGACCCACACCATAGTCATTAACAACGCTACAATGATGTTTTCCGCAACCACCACATGACTAAAAACCATTGGACCGAGCCATAACCTCCATAGCGAAAGCCAGGGAAGCCCTAGTTACCCGAGAAGGAGTTGCAAATGCTTCAAATCTACAAGAGCCACAAACACTCGGACAACCACCTTCATGAAACACAACCAACACACTTAATAAATCATGGTTTGATTAAACCAAACTAGAAAGAGATGTTGGATAAGTTGTTATGAGAAAAGAAAATGGAAGCGAGGTGAGGCATGAGGGCAAGTTGGCAAATGGGTGAAATGGAAAAGAATGAAATAGAGGGTGGATTGGGCGGGGGCGGGGGTGGAGGGTGGGGGTGGGGAGGAGGACGACAGAAAGAGGAGATGAGGATGTTTTAGGGAAGGAGAAGGTGTTTGCAACCTACCCCAAGCGGTAGCTAGGGTCGTCGGCTGTGAAATTCTAGACCTAGGGGCTTTTTCTTGGAGGAGAAGAGAGGGTCACAGCTCGGGCTTAGAGAGAGATTGTGTGGGTAAATATATACTATATAATGGTAAAGTTCATCTTTAATAAGAAAGTGTGTTTAAATAACAGATAGTTTCATTGCTATTTAGGATTATATTCTTCTTAATTTGTAAGTGAGGTTTTAGATTTATCACTCATGGATAGTGAGTTTAATATCAAATCATTATATTGCCTTTTGTGTGGCACCCATAATGCAAATATAATGTCACATAAAACAGAAGAAAAAAAAGTTAGCATCACTAGTGCAAAAGACTTGTAGCTCAAGTAGTTAAACGCATTATGAATAGTTTATGGACTTAAGAGAAACTAGTGGAAGGTGTAAAGAGCCGCTAAGAGAAGCGACACTTCCATGTAGAAAAAAAGCAGATGATTGTGCGGGTCGACAACAATATTTGTCATAATCAACCCATGAACAATGGCTATAGGGTAATGGGGGTTGATTGGGTGTGTATGATTGAATCCTTGTTGGATTGCCCACATATCTTTAGGAATGGAGAATCAAATCATAATGTAGTTTTAAAGAATGAGTGGTGAGATGTGTGCCACATCGTGAACCATTCCTAGTGAATAAGCATACGGCAGAGCGTGCAGGAGAGATGAGTCTTCATGGGTATATATAGCATAGACGACTTGGAGTAAAGAAATACGATGATTGTAGATAATAGATCCTTAAAGATTTATTTGGTAGATACCCAAACTAGGGTATTTATAGTGGTCTTGAGAGTCATTGTAGGAAAAGTAATCCAATTGTAAACTCGTGGTTGGAGTTCCAAATGAGTAGCTTTAAAAAGTTGAATGTGTGGCAGAATGTGCCAATTTTTTTTATATTCTTGAAAGGATTTAGATGCCTTAGGAGATAGTTTGCTATTGCATTTTTTGGCTTCTACTTAGTTTAATCTAATGCAAGGTTCTAAAAAACGTTAGGCGCTAGTCGGGCGGCGGGTTAGGCGGGCGCCTAGGCGGCCTAGATGGATTTAGATAAATTTCTTGTATATCTTGTAAATAAGTGCATATTGACACTTACAAAAAATTAAACTTGTATGAAATTCATAGATAAGATAATAAAAAAATAATAAAATGCAAAAATAGTATCCAACAAGTCCAAAATTTAAAAACACATTAAGCATATATGCCATATAACCATAGTGAGGAGTATTGTAGGATGACACATGTACAATAAGTTCACAATTTAAAACCACACAAAATGCAAAATAGGAGGAAATAAGGAAACATAGTAATGTAGATATAATTTTTTTTTTTTTTTTTTTAGTTTCAAAAAAAATAAAAAATAAAAAATCCTCCTAGCCGTCTAGCTCGCCTAGAGCCCAGCCGATTTTTCCAACAAATTCGCAAGAAAACGCTTCGGGTCACCACCGCTCAACACCTAGGCTGCCGCCTAGGCCGTTTTTGAGAACATTGATCTAAAGTAAATTGAAGTAATCATCCTTTGTTTCCTTTCATGGAATGGGTTTTAGTCAGCCAACTTTCCAGAGTTAACCAACTTCGAATAATGAACCAAGAAGTCTAACACGAATAAGTTTAGAGGCCAAAGCACTAATCTACTTTCTTCATAATTTTGCCTGAGAAATTATTACTTCTAAACTAGTGTTTACAACGTTTTTCAATGCGATGTTCAGAGTACCATCTTTATCTGACGACACGCCGGATGCCAATAGTAAATCTATTTCTTCGAAGCTTGCTTTTGTTGTGGACTGGAGTGGGGTCCACGAGGGCCACGTAAGCATATACGGAGGAACTAACAAAAATTGTGATAAATGTATGACATTGAAATGAAAAAGTAAATGTATGAGATTGAAATGTTTTAAAGATGTTGTATTGTAACAACCCTTCTCGGAATTTACGGAATGGAAGGGCATTTTCATAATTCCACTTTGGGTTGAAAAATATTTTGAAATGGTTACTATTTGGGTCTTAAATGGTGTGCCCAAGGGGGCCCACTTCTTTTGGCTTTGTCTCCTCACCTCGGCCCACTCTCATTCTCCTTTCTCTTCCCGTATCTTTCTCCAAAAACATTCTCAGCTATCTCTCTCTCCCTCCACACAACTCTTGGACCTCTCTTTCATCTCTCTTCTCCAAGAATCACACTCAGCCGACGACCACCACACATCATCCTCTATGGCGAGCACCACATACCAACCACCCTTCTCTAGCCCTCTCTTACACTCTCGAAATTGGAATGGAGATGCACGAATCACTGAGTTACTATGCGATGGCGCAACTCCAGCAAGTTCCTTATCTTTTCGACGATTGGTAAACCTCGGGACACTTGAAATCTCTTCATTTTCGTCCTTGTGGCCTAATTCTAACTTAGATTATGTATTTGGGACGACGAGTTTACACGGAGATACCATGGTACAATCTCAGCGTCAAGGCACTCCTACATCTGCATCTTCAAGTCCTCTCAGTGTAGGACCCATCTCTTTGTTCATTCAATTTTATATTATTCATTTTTAGTGTCTAGGATTAGTTGTATGCTCTGAACATATTCCATAATTGCATAATCATTGTATTTAGATTTATAAGTATTGTTTATATTTATTATTTCTCATGCATCCTAATATGGCTTTGTCATCTTCGGATGTCGGCCATTACGTGCCTGTCCTGATGTTTGGAGAATATCAGGGTCGGGCGTGTCATGTGTAAAGTTGTAATTAAACACAAATCCGAGAGGTAAAATAGTAATTTACCCTTGGATTATTTATGCTTGCGTCATCCATCACGCTTCCGCACATGCGTACTAAAGTAGTCCACAACCCAACAGTTGTATTGGTGCCATGGTTAATTGACAAAATGGACGTTACTCGTTGTTGGGATGTGTTTTTCGTTGCATATTTTGATTTGCAAGAATTTTCATAAATATTTATATTTATTTTATTGTTCTAAAATTTATTGTAAAAGTTAAAATAATTAGAAGCATGAACAAAAATATATTTTCTTGGAAATTAACAAGTAAAAACTAGACTAGTATGTTCATAGTTTCAGTTAATTATAGACATGATTAAACTTGTTTTTTGCCATGATCAACTAGTATTTTTTCATACTTGTGTGTATTTTATCATGTTAAAGAAGTCCGGAAAGATGAAAAAGAAAATAGAATTTTCGTGTCAAAAATTGTTGAAAATTTAGGTTAATTGTAGCCTAGGGCTTCCCCCTTGCCATCAATTTTTGGTGGAGGCTATGGGGTGTCCCCTCCTAGGGCTACTGTAATTGTTGGATAAATTTTAGGGTCCGGTCTAACAAGAATTCCCATTACTAAATTGGTAAATCCTTCTAAATTATGACACACAAAGAAACTTAATAAAATTAAGATTCCTGAAATTTTATTTGGATTATAATTCCATATTAATCTAAGTATTTAATTCTCAATATCATTGAGAAATATTATCGTCAACACTCATTCATTAGCTACCATGCATGGTTTAAATTAATTAAAATACTATTTGTACCTATTTAAATATAAATTTTGGAACACATTGTTTTTTAAGAAGATGCATATCTAGAATATCTATTTTTAGAGATAAATATATCGAATACAACTCGTGTAAGATTGAGAACCATCTAGCAAGATTCATATATATATATATATATAAAAAAAATCTGTTTTACGTTTAAAAAAAAAAAAAAAAATATATATATATATATATATATATATATATATATATGCGCCTTTGAATTTAAACATCTATGCTATCACGGGGACCAAAAGCTGCCAATACATGACAAAACATACAATCACAGGAATGCCGCCAAGTGCTTTCCCACACAACTTTTTCACTTCACAGGGCCCATGAACAACGTAGTCCATTCCTACCAAAGGGGCAATTGTAGCAAACCCTCGAGAATGGTCCATGAATCTTTTAGAGTAAATTGACTAAATTCATTTTGCCATTGAAGAGAGGTTTTGAAGAATAAAGAAGTTAGATTCGGGATGACTCTCCATTCAAGATGACCTAAAACATTGTTAAATCTCGAAGACGACCTTTGTTGCTTGAGTTGTGTAAGTTTGAAATCCAAGAATATTCAAATCGTGATAACAACTAACCCAGCAGGATTCTCTTTGGATTCTTTTGATGAAGATTCTGAAGATCCGTGAATCGTGTCCTATCATCGTATATCGTGTAGTTAGTTTTTATCAAGCATTGTTTGAATTTAGTTGTTAAATAAAAATATTTAAATTCGACGAGAATCAGATTCGAATTTCAATTCACAAGTTCATAGAGGAGAGAGCACAACCCCACACCTACCACCAAACGTCCTAGAGGAGAGAGTTTTGTGCCGAGGAAGGGAGGCAGATTGTCTCCACTCCTCTTTGGGTGCTTTTCCCATTCATTTCTATTTTGTGCAGTCACGGTTAAGTTACGTTAATATTTTATATTAATATTTTTTTATAAAGATAATAAGTAAAAAAATAATACGAATATAAAATGTTGACGTAACTTAAGCGTGACTGCACAATTAAAAAGTGTTGGAAATTACACTCGCGGACAGACAATCTACCTCCCCGAGGAAGGCAAGGAAACTGCACGTACGGTCGGCTTATATGAAACCGAAGGAAAACAAAAAGTCAAAACAAACAAATATGACTAAGACACGTGGAGGTTGAAAAAGTAAAATGTGGAGAAAAAGGGGAAGAAAAGCAAAATTGAAAGATTGACTGTGCTTAACAAACAAGTGGCGGCCTGGCGGGATTCCTGCATACAAAGTTACAAACGTCTCCTCTCTCTCCCTCTTTCTCTCTGTCTTCTCCAGTTTTAGCGGCGACCCGGTACCTTCGTGACTTCTTCCATAATTCCCATTTCTTTCTCTCTTCCCAAAAATCATCAAATTTTGAAGAAAAAGAAAAAAAAAAATTCCTGGGCTCTGCTTTTAATTTCTCTTTTTGTTTTCTCACGAGAAACCGTTTGATTACAGCAACAACAACTCATGTGACCGCCATTAAGGCTCTCTCGGTCGAGATATTTCCTGGTCTGCATTCAGCCCCCATCTTCTTCTTCTCTGTACGCCGCACAATGAGCTACTGCGGCTGCTGCGATTTCGTTTGATCCAAACAAACCAGAAAAGGAAGGATTTTTTGGGTGTAATTTGTGGTGTGATTGGGGATGGAGAAGGAGAAGAAGAAGTATCCGATAGGACCGGAGCACTACATTCTGTATGAAGAGGTCGGGCAAGGCGTCAGCGCTTCCGTTCACCGTGCTCTCTGTAAGCCCTTCGAGGAGGTTGTCGCCATCAAGATCCTCGATTTCGAACGCGACAATTGTGATCTGGTACTCCCAGTTTTCAATTCTTCATTTTGTTTGCAATTTTATTTTATTTATTTTTATGTATTAGTCGGTTTCATTTGGTAATTTGATTGGTAAAAAGCCTAAGAAGGCAATGCGGCCAGCTTTTTGTATATTGAATTTTTACAATTCTGTGAAAATTTGCAAAAGGCTATCGAGAACGGATTCAATTTTTACGAATAGCAGCTAATTTCAGCTTCCGTTTTTGGTTTTGGAATTTGAGTTGTATTGGTACTTAGAGAAGTTCATGTGGTGGTGCTACTGTACATAATTTTTGAGAATACGGACATTTAGTTCCGGTTTATTTATATTTTCCATGACCCCATTCGAAATTACTCAAGTTATCATGTGTTTTTTGCTTAGATTGTTCAATCCCATGATTTTTGTTTCCATGGTGGTATTGGTTTTTGAGCATTGTCTTGTGTATTGTTGCTTTCTACAGAACAACATTTATCGGGAATCGCAAACAATGATCCTCGTCGACCATGCTAATGTCCTCAAATCGCATTGTTCCTTTGTTAGTGATCATAATCTGTGGGTTGTCATGCCATTCATGGCTGGGGGTTCTTGTCTTCACATTCTGAAGGCAGCATACCCAGATGGTTTTGAGGAAGTTGTTATAGCCACTATATTACGTGAGATTTTGAAAGGTCTAGAGTATCTTCATCATCATGGCCACATTCATCGAGATGTCAAAGTAAGTATGTTAACATTCAGCATCATTCAAATATTTTTATGTTGCGTCGCAGGCCTAGGTGGACAAATCAGCAAATTGTTTCTTTGTTGTATTGTCTGGAACTTGTTATATCTTTTAGGGTATGGTAACTAGTTTTAATAATACTGTCATTTGACTGTCTGTGTACTGTATTCGCTGTTAAAATCTCATATCTGAAGACGGTTGCCCTTTTTTTTTTTCCACTTAAATATCCTTCCACTCTTTAAGACTTTTCATCCAAAACTTTTTATGGTCATTTTACAACTGGATCAGTGTTGTCAAAAAGTCACTTACAATAATTTGTAGGTTGCTCGAGTCATGTCAAACAGAGCCTTTCCAATCGAAAACACATTCTTGATCCCTCTTACCCCATATTCAGTAGGGTATTGAGTCTAGTGACAATTCTTATGCATAAATATTTCACTTCTGTACATTCTGTGGAATTGCATGTTTGCTATACACCGGAATAGTTGTACTGGCAACCACTATTGTTTTTATTTATTTAGTGCATCTATAATACGGTTGGGCACCTTTAATTCCTTTACTCTTCTTTGTCTTATAAATACTTCTCATAGGCTGGAAATATTCTCATTGACTCACGTGGTGCAATCAAGCTTGGAGACTTTGGTGTTTCTGCTTGCCTTTTTGATTCAGGTGATAGGCAGCGTATGAGAAATACATTTGTGGGAACGCCTTGCTGGTATGCTATTTTTAACATTTAGCTAAGAAAATTAATTTTTACCATCCAAACAGCATAAGCTTGATTCCTCAGTCTTACTTTTCTTATTACTTTGTGTTGTTTAATCAACAGGTTTTATATCTTTGTCTTGTAGGATGGCACCAGAGGTTATGGAGCAATTACATGGTTATGATTTCAAGTGAGTTTGTTTTTTGTAAACTTATTGTTATCTTTTCTGCTTCTTTTTATGAAAACAAAATTCTTAAGCATCATAGAGTTAATTTTTGGTTGTCATATTCGTGCAGGGCGGATATCTGGTCTTTTGGTATAACCGCATTGGAGCTTGCCCATGGTCATGCTCCTTTCTCAAAGTATCCTCCAATGAAGGTGTATATCAAATGACACTGTATCCTTTTGTGAGCAACTTTTCGATCATTATCAGATCATTGAACAAAATGCAAATCTTATATGTTTATAGGTACTGCTGATGACCTTGCAAAATGCACCACCTGGTCTTGATTATGAAAGGGATAGGAAGTTTTCTAAGGTATGACAACAATTTGTATTGAGTTTCCTCTGATATTGTAGTTTTCACACCTCCGATATTGTAGTTTTCACAAGGACATGTCTTTTTCTTAAGTCCTTTAAGCAGATGATTGCTAGTTGCTTGGTAAAGGATCCTTCAAAACGACCTTCTGCTAAGAAGTTGTTGAAGAATTCCTTCTTCAAGCAAGCTCGGTCGAATGATTATATCTCACGAACACTTCTGGAGGGCCTGCCTGCTCTTGGTGATCGCATCAAGGAATTAAAGGTAGCAATTCATATCCGACTCTCAACACTTATTCATTTTCATGCTATAGTTATGGGTTTTATGTACTTAACATCACATGTTTATCCTATGATAGCGAAAGGAAGAGTATATGCTTGCACAAAAGAAGATGCCAGATGGACAAATGGAGGAACTATCACAGGCAGGAATCTTCTCTCTTTAATCAATAAGAATGTTGCTGATATTTTGATAAAAAAAAACTGGTACTGTGATTATTCTGTTTTGTTTTGCTTGCTTTTATTAAGATAAGATACTTAACGAAGGTCACTTAAAATCATGCATTCAATAAATTTTTATTGCTGCAAGTAAATTGGTTTGCAGTTTAAAGTCAGTAAAATTTTTCGTTACTTAGATTTACATTTGAGGTTAGATACCATTAGAACATACCATTTCGTTCTAAACAGAATCTTAGGAAAAATTAGGCATTTGTCAGCTGAAAATTGTAGGAAGTATCTGATAGGGTGTGGAGGAGCGATTAAGAGAAGCTACCCTCATCAGATACTCATTGGTTGCCATGGGAAATGTAACGAAGGATACACAACCCATAACCAGCATTGCCTTCGTCATAATCTTTGCATTGCCTCGTTAATCTAGTCGCGTGGTGAATCATTGATGACATCCCTTCTTCCGTATTCTTTTTAATTCACAAAATCTATTCATTATTTTATCTGAACCTGGATGAAATTTCCTGTTCTGTCTCTACCGACAAATGGAATGGAGACATAAGATACAATATGATCTTCCTATCATAGGGGCTAGTTTCACCCCATAATGGCAATGTGAAGGTGCAACTCTCCCCCTAAATTGGTGTTCGATTTTACCCTCCCCCAATATTGATTCTCGAATAAACATGCATATGGTAAATGTATATTTCATTTAGTAGTAACTGTAACTGTTAACAGATGCTAATTTCCTTTCTGACATATTTATATTCCTAAACAGCTTCGATAATTAAATCTTGTACAGACAAATCCAGTTTGCTCTGTAATTTTCTATTGTTGTGTGGTAATGGGTTCCAGTTGATCCTGCTTTTTGTTCCCTTTTTGTTTCTTTTTGGCTCTTAAATCTATTAAATCTACTGATTTAAACCTGCAAAAGGATCAATGGAGTTAGGATTTTTGATATTTAATAATCCTTAGTTTTTTACTTATTAATTAGTTCTCATTTTAAAAAGTTATATTGCAGAATGAATATAAAAGAGGAATTAGTGGTTGGAACTTCAACCTTGATGACATGAAGGCTCAAGCTTCCCTGGTAATTGTCCATCTTGATTCTTCACATATTTTTATTTATATGATTCCTAAAAAAATATAATGATGAAATCTAATATGGTCTAAAATATGCTATTTTTCATTTTATTGTCAGAAGCAACAAAAATTCATTTCTTTCTCAATTTACGTTTTCTTTCTATCAGATTCAGGATGTTGATGACCCTGTACCTGATAACAATCAGACAGGGAGTTCGACTTCTCTGTCTGCTCTTGATGCGCAACTAAAGCCATCACTCTGTCGAAACTTAGAACCAGTTGCAGATATGGTATTTATCAAATTGGCTGGACATTTATGGTAGTTTGAAGCACATGCATACATATCATAATAGCTGTTTCTGGTTACTCATGGATTAATGTTTCACAGGAAGACAATGATGTGACTCGGAACCAACAAGCTACTGCATACGTTAACACAGCTTTATATGATGCCAAGTATTTCATCTGTGATATCTGTTTTTAATATGTTTTGCTAATATTTAGCTTTACTTTTTCAAGTCTTGATTCCCAAAACACAAAAAAGGTGTTGTATAAATGATTAATACCTGTAGATCCATATTTTGATTATTTATGTTGTAGCACTTTTTATCTACCAGGTTTAGAAGTGACAAATCTGATGATGATTCTAGCATTGCCAGTCCTAGCCATGAACCACTTACTTCACCTTGTCATGATGATCGTACTGAACGGGGTGAAAATCCCAATGGAGATAATATTGGGAAACTTATGGAGGCGACAGCTTTGAATTCTCAACATAAAAGGCAGTGCTCATCAGGCAGCAGTGGTTTACCAGAAGTTAGTGATCCTCTTGTTAAAGGAGACAGGTATGCCATTTAATTGACACTATAATGTCTCTGACTGAATCAGTTAGCCTTTAAACTTGTGATTAGCATATCATGATTCCAACAAGATAGTTCCAGGGAGAAAAATAACTTGTCAACACTCCATTCTTTTTTTCCGGATTCCTGGTGAAATTGGTCTGACATGGCCGTTCATTGGACATTTACATGTGGCAAACGTGAGAATTATCCTGATAAACTAGACACATGAATAAATCAGAAATTCAATAAAAAATGGAGGTCATCAAGTGGAACAAAGTAATATGAAATGTATGCATGGAAGGTCTCTGTAAACTTCCAAATGTTACAATATTTCACAAGTTCTCTATAGAACTATATTGCTTTACTTTCCCTTGAAATCCAAACTCCATTTGAAGTTTCCCCTATGGTTTTGGAGTTGTAGCAGATTGGTTAAGCCGTCTTCAGACTAAATTTCCAAGATGAACATGATTGTTGATATGAACGCCAGTTTTAAGTGATTGTTTAGCTTGCATTTGTGAGCAAAGTGTCATATCGTCTGATGTGCCACTTATAATTTAGAATCTCATGGCTTGAAATCTGTTCACAGAAGAAGAATGCTAATGTAACTTAAGACCATCGTTTTCTTGTGTGAATTGGTGATGTTTGATAGAGTTCTGTTAATAATAAACCGGAAAGTAATGGAGGGAATTACAAAAAAAACTTAAAGGAACTATTGAGATAAAAGATATGTTTTTTTTTCCTCTTTGTGTGACGAAGTTCTTACTAATGATGCAACGCAAGAAAGTTCTGTTTTCTTTGATTTTTCCAGAGAATGGTCCAGAATCCAGATTATTGGTAAGTGGGTTTTAGGTCCAGAATCCAGGTTCTTGGTATGTGGGTTTTAGGTTTGTGGAAAAAATAAATTTGTTAGCATGCGGATATGATATTTGAGTTTCCAATCTCTGCTGTCTTACTAGGTAACTGTCTTAGGGGGGAAAGTTCTCCTAAGAAAAAAAGTACTCTTCAATTGCATACATGATGAAAACTCATCTATTATGTAACTAGCAGCAGTAGCTCATTCTTCATATCTGTTTGTCTGCTTAGCGTTTGTTTCAGACTGAAGTTATGATTATTCTTGATGAACTTCACTTTGAATTTTCAATTTTCCATGGTATTTCTTTTCGTTTTTTTATTCTTTTTGTCTTTGCCGAAGTTAACTTAAATTACTGGAATCTCCAGTGATAAATTGCAAAATCATCAGCCCCAAAGTAATTCAAAGGGAAATGCGGCAGTAGTTCCACAACTAGCAGATGACGTGCTTACTGAAGTTCCTCCTAAAGCATCTAAGTCACCAGGCATGTTCTGATATTATAGCTATCCCTGGATTTATTGATCGTTGTCTCCATGAAAAACAATTTCTCCATTTTTTTTTTTGGAATTCATCTATGTATGTGTGTGTGCGCGCGCGTGCATGTTGTGGTCAAGTAATTGATGCTCAGTTTATAGGTCAGATATGGGTGAAGACGCATAGTGGATGAGCTGCATCTTGGTCCAATAATTAACAATAAATCCAAAATTTTATCAAGATATAATGAATTTGAGGGAAATGATTTTAGAGGAAATTCCTTTCTGAAACAGAAAGAGAGTTTCTTGGGAGATGGAGGGGGAGGGAGATAGAAATGACATAAAGCGGGATTGGGGCCTAGGGGATGGAAGGCTTGTTGAGGGAAACTTAATTGGGTTGGAGGTGATAGGTTTTGTTATTTTTCGTTCTTGAGAGGATGCATTTAAGTGGAGGTTTTGAAGGCCTATTGGCTTGGTGGCCAATAGATTTTTTGTTGTTGAGAAAGTTGACTTGGTTCTTTAACCTGTGAGGTATCCCTTTTCAGTCTCTTGAGTAGGAGTGATTGCTTATATGTTGTAAGGTATTGCCAGGGCCTGATTGTCCTATGGTTTCCTTTTGCAATATGATGAAGGAAGGTTCTCTTTTTGTGATATGATGGAGAAAGGTGTTATGGTGTGAGGAACTTTGTAATCAATTGGTGGTAAATGTAGATTAGTGAAGGTTAGTGATAACAACCTGCCAGTTTGGGTTCAGGTATTTCTAAAGTATTAGTTTATGATCTGTCGTATCCATGGTGAGAGGTTTTGGTGATTAAGTTTAGATGCTCTTGTAACTACATTGAGAGGGAGACGTGCTTCTTGTGGCCAATAAAGTGGTGGAAGATTATAGAAGGTCAGAGAATGTGGGACTGCATTAGATTGTGTTGAGGAAAAGGCCTTAAGAATGTTAAGCATTTAATTAAAGATCATAGACAAGAACCATGTTTTTTTTCTGATCTCAGGTGAACTCTGCCTTATTAACTGATGAAGTTATTCATGCAGCTCACAGTGGTGAACTCGATGAGAAAGCAAAGGCACCAGTTGTACAGCAGAAAGGACGTTTTAAAGTCACATCTGAGAATCATGACTCAGAAAAGGTGGGTTTTATAATGCTGGGTTTAGTGTTTTCTTCATGTGAACTCTGTGGATAACTTATCTTTTCTTTCAGGTGGTTCCGGCTCCTATTCTGCAAAAGAGTCACAGCTTGCAGGTTTGTAGTTCTGAGGTTAGCACAATTGTGCCAAAGTGCCTATTTAATTTTTTCTGCTAGCCTCTTGTCTGAGAATTCAATTACCTTACCTGCATTAGTAGATATAAGAAATTTGAGAAAACTTTACATGGCACATCTATCAAGGTGTCATTTTTGTAAGTCCTTTGTTTAGTGTCTTTATGGTGCATTAGTAGTGTTTAAGTAGTAGCATTCTTGTGCTCGAGTAGTTCATTGGTACTTTATTGTCCTTGACTCCTTGTATTACATTTTTAACAATTGAGTCTAATGTTCCTTGGTATTTTGAAATTCCTTATCCAAACATAGGGTTGGTGAAAGTTCCTAGTCATTCAGAAAACCCTTGGTGGCTAGAAGTGGAAAGACAAAGCTTTCTGAAAATATCATTAGTGATAAATCGATCATGCTGACCGTTTTGATCATAGAATGCTAGGCATGCCTCAACTACTCAGTTTTCTAGATATTGTTTTGATTTATTAAAAGCATCATCACGCTTACCATTTAGAGTTGAGTATAATCTCACTTGTCAAATGACTTGATGGTAATTGCACCCAAAAACCTTTGATAAACGATTAAAAGACATAAGCTTGTTTTCACATGAATGTAATTCTCTAATGGTTTGCTCTGTCAAGAATCAAATATTACCATTCCATAAAAGAACAAAAACTATAAAACGGTACCTTGGACCAAATTTTTTGGTCTTAAGATTTGATGAATTGATTGCATGTTTCTCTGAGTCTCTATTTTCCTTTGTGAGACATTTCTTAATTTTTTTAGTATGATTGTCACGTAATGTCGGCCTTCACAACACTTAGGAAATAATCTGCAGTATCAGTTTTTTGACCATCATGATTATTTCGGACCTAGGTCCAGCCAGGAATTCTTTAGAGATATGTACAGAAACTTATGGCATGTTTACTTACATGGAATGGGTATTGGAATTATTACCAATTCTTGATTTAATGGAGTTTACTAAAACATGGGCGTTGGAATCATTGAAATTCCTGATTTCACCACGTGTTACTAACACACATGGAATTAAAAGATGGTTTCCTTATTAATATCCATAATCCAATACCTGAAAAACCAAGAATCCTATCATCTCTGGGTGCTTGTTGATCCCATTCCCATTCCTTCTTTCCCTTCCTTGATGCTTGGTGACCGTACGGCTATGAAAACATCTTGTCTGATATATTGTGAATTTATATCCTAAGCGCATAAGATTATATTTATTAACTTTTACTGAATGTCTTACAGCACTTTTACCGGTTATGTAGGTGATTAGCTTCAATCCTGCAAATCCTCTACAATCAGCTCTTCCATCACCCCTACCTTCACCTCTAACATCACCTTCTGATGCTACCGCACCAGCTCTTTCTGGCTACTCTCTTTTTCCAATGTTAAACTCTATTTTGCAGACAAATATTATTCAGAGGGTATGTGTTAGCAAATACTTTTGGCTTATTTATGTTTCATATATGATAGAAATTTATTCGTCATTTCTTCTTAACAGGAGAGTATTTTAAGTTTAATGAAGCAAGTTGCTAATGGCGATTTCACAGGTTCAAGCAATTATTGCTCTTTCAGTTTTAGAATTTTATTCAATTTAGATGATCCTAACGTATTGTTGTAAAACCTTACTCCAGCCAACCGTGCAAGTGATGTAGGATCCACCCAGGCTACTAATGGTTCGGAGAAATCATTGGTATGTTATAAAGAGTTTCATTTCTATGCTATTCCTTCCAAACAAACTATTCCGGCTCCAAATTTAGTTGCTATTTATCAAGTTTCCATCTATTCTTAGGATAAGTTGCCAATGGATTCATAGAATACTAAATTACATATATCTTGTATGAGCAAGTACGAATGCCAAGAATGAGTTGAACTAGAACTTGTTCAATGATATGACATAGCACTAAAAATTCGAAATGCTGATGGTCTCGCTTTGTAGAGTGCTATTTGTTTTGTTATGTTGGGGCAATGGGGTTAATGAACTTTCACAATTACATTTGAAAGTTAGCAAAAATGTTTCAGGTTCTAAAATGTATTATAATTATGTCAAAAGTTCACCCTCTGTAAGTTCAACTTTCTCATTCTTAGATACCACAGATAGCTTAGAATCTTCAGCTTTGTGTTTGCTCCATGACTCTGAAATGTTGCTAGCTATGGAATTGCGAGTCCACGCAGGATTCTTAAGTTGTTGGCAGCATGATAAAGATACTAGTGAAAAATTTGCGTTCGAATGAGAAACCTTCTGCTTAGGCTGATATGCCGTTGCTATTAGTCTTTTATGAGTTTACTTTTAAAGCGTTGGGTGATTTTTTTCATAAACATAAAGTGGCATGTCTGTTCTTGCAGCCTCAAGCAGCTCGAGAGAGGGAAACCGAGTTACTCAATGAAATAACTGAGCTGCAGAGGAGGTCAAAATAGCAACCAACACACGCCGTGCCTAATTATTATGTTTATTTTGCTAGTAATCTTAGACTCTTTTTGTGCATATGTAGGCTCATGTCTGCGCAAGATGAGCTTCAAAAGTTGAAAGTAGATACTGCTTAAAACTCAGGTTATTATCTGATATCCTGTTGCTCAAAAGTTTTTGTTACGGATATCAGATTCTAACATACCAGTTTCAGGTGTGATTTCATTATCCAACTGGCGCTTGGATGATGTACGGAAGTTCTTCGAACGCAACAATACTGACAAATCTACGAAGAAGGAAAAAAAATTTGACTGATGTTGTATCGTTAAAGATAAGAAGCTAAGTTTACTTGTTAAGGTGATGATAAAATTATTTTTATAGGTTTCCAACTAATGCAGCTTCAGTAATAAGTTAGTCATGTTATTTTCTTCATGCTCTGCTTGTAATTTGTATATATAGATTTAGTTGTCTGCCATATTTCTGCTCAACTATGTTGCATTTGTTTTTCCCTTATTATTTATTTAATTTATTTTTATTGAAGTTAATCCTGCATCTTCTACCTAACTGCCGTTGTGCTTCATCTGTAATAAGTATTTTCTACCTCGACCCCTGAAAGTAATCGTTCATCGTCGCTCGACTCGACTTTTGAAAGTAACCGTTCATCTTCACCCGCTATGCGCGAGGATTAAATTGACCCGAAAACATGTTTGATTTTGTGAATTAATGTATCGAGTACTTTGATTGTGAGCTAGTGTATGTTTTTGGTACTTTAGGGAATAGAAAGATGCATGTAATGTATTGTTTAGGGTTTAAGGAGGGAGACAACATTGCAACGGACTTCTAGTTTAAGTGGTCACCTGAGCTACTGTGTCGGAATATTGCACCATGGCTAGCCACGACCTTAAAGTTTCCTAGTTTCACGAGCTCGTTTGAGGGACATCTTGTGGTCGTGTTGTTGTGGATTTCAATTCGATTACATAATATATTTATTCTTTAATATTGTATTTGCTAAAAATTAGACAAATTCGTAATATCCGACATTGTATTTTAAGAAACCACTAAAATGACATTTGATTTAGTTGTCAAGGGTTTTGGATTTGAGTAATTTTTTCAAACCACCGAAATATTTTGTAAAGTTAGCCTCGTAAGGGCTCCTCTCTTTTTAAGTGAGTTAAAATTAAAAATTTAAAACAACATTCTTTCATAACAAGAAAAGGAGTTTATTAATAAAAAAGAAAAAATTAGATTAGGAGACATTTTTTTAAAACAAATTACGGTAATTACCTTTCCTGTTTAGGAACCTTTCCTAATTAACAAAAGACAAACCAGAGACTCCATAGGAAACCTTTTCCTAATACTACAAGCAGTTGTTAACCTCGGCTTATAAATATCACAACCCCTACGTGCTTTGCTCTCACTACTATTCTCCAATCTGCAATCCAATCTCAACTGCTCTCTCTACGTTGTGTGTTCCTTAGTCTCCGCTGTCACGATGCTCGCGGATAAACCAGAATGTTCTGACAGTAAGGGAATGACGAGGGACTTCAGTACGGCGTTACTTGAGCGCAAGAAGGCTGCCAACCGGCTTCTTGTGGATGACGCTGTCCACGACAACAACTCAGTCGTAGCGCTGCACCGGGACACTATGGAAAAGCTCCAGCTCTTTTCCGGCAACACGGTCTTGATCAAGGGAAAGAAAAGGAGGGACACTATCTGCGTTGTTGTTGCTGATGATACATGTGACGAACCAAAGATAAGGATCAACAAGGTTGTCAGGAGCAACCTGAGGGTTATGCTTGGGGACGTTGTTTCGGTTCATTAATGCGCTGATATAAAGTATGGAAGGCGCGTCCACATTCTTCCTGTGGACGACAGTATTGAAGGGGTCACTGGAAATCTGTTTGATGCATATTTGAAACCTTATTTCTTCGAGGATTTCCGCCCGGTGAGGAAGGGTGATCTCTTCCTTGTGAGAGGAGGACTGAGGACTCTAGAGTTCAAGGTTGTTGAAACCGACCCTCCTGAGTGTAGAAGTTTACAGAATTAAGAGAGAGAGCGATTGCAATTGTTAAAGAAAGAATGATTCTCATTAACTTCATCTGCAGGATACAAGGGATATATATGTGTACATAAAATATCTAATCAAATGCTGAGTCATCATCAATACTTTAGCTTAACAGCTAAGCTAAGTGCTAATCCAGTGCCTTATGCTCATTCTAGTCTGGTGGTCCTTCACTATCCTTAATACACCCCCTCAAGCTGAAGGAAGGGGATCGAACTGAGAGCTTGAAGCGAAGTTGTTCAAATCTGTCTGCAGGTAAGGACTTAGTGAATATATCTGCAATTTGAAGCAATGAAGCCACATGATGAACATGAACATGGCCCAGAAGAACTTTTTCTCTAATGTAGTGATAATCAATCTCTATATGTTTTGTGCGGGCATGAAAAACCGGGTTGAAGGCTAGAGCAATGGCACTTTTGTTGTCACAGAAAATACGTGGAGTTTGAAGAAGAGGAAAGGAGATATCTTGCAGGATTTTGCAAACCCAGCTAAGCTCGGCAGCAGTATGAGCCAGTGAGCGATACTCTGCCTCAGTAGATGACCGAGCTATTGTGCTTTGTTTCTTGGCACTCCAAGAGATGAGATTAGGACCCAAAAACACACAATATCCACTAGTGGAACGTCTGTCCACAGGGCATCCTGCCCAATCAGCATCCGTCCATGCTGTGAGAACTTGCTTGCCTTTAGTAAACCATAAACCTGAGTCAAGAGTACCCTTCAAGTAGCGAAGAATCCGTTTAACAGCCTGCAAGTGAATCGTGCGAGGACTATGCATGTATTGGCATACTTGATTTACTGCAAAGGCCAAATTAGGTCGTGTCCATGTGAGATATTGGAGAGCACCAACAGTGGATCGATAAGAAGAAGGATTAGGGAGAAGGGTACCAGAGTGATCCAATTTGGTGGAACTAACAGGAGTAGTACAGGGTTTGACCCCAAGCATATCAGTTTTCTTGAGTAAATCCAGAGCATATTTGGATTGATTGAGAAGTAAACCTTTGGCAGACATGTGAACTTCAATGCCGAGAAAATAGTGGATATCACCCAAGTCTTTGACAGGAAATAGAGATTACAGTTTGGAGATAATGGACTAACAGACTGGAGTGGAACTCCCAGTGATGATAATGTCATCAACATAGACCAGTATGAAAGTGATGTGAGAACCTTTCTGAAAAAAAAGACTAGGATTAGAGGGTGATGATGAGAAACCCAAGGAAATAAGGACACTGTAAAGAGCTTCATACCAAACTCTGGGAGCTTGTTTAAGGCCATAGAGAGACTGTTTGAGTTTACAAACATGTTGAGGTTTAGATTGATCCACAAAACCAGGAGGTTGAACCATGTATACATCCTCTTTAAGAGAGCCATTCAGGAAAGCATTGCTCACATCCAACTGATGCACAAACCAATCATGAGTTACAGCAATAGACAAGAGAATTCGGATGGTGGTTGGTTTAGCTACGGGGCTAAATGTCTCAGAAAAATCAAGGCCTTCTTGTTGATGGAACCCCTTAGCAACCAACCGAGCCTTATACCTCTCAATGGAGCCATCAGCTTTGTGTTTGACTTTAAACACCCATTTGCAACCAACTAGATTGTAACTGGGATGAGAAGGTACTAACTCCCAAGTACCAGTGGTTTGAAGAGCTGCAAACTCATCTGCCATTGCTTGGACCCAATGAGGATTCTTAGAAGCTTGATGATAAGTGGTAGGTGGAGAAGGAATAGTGGTGAGGTGGTCAACAGATGGTGGAAGAGGGTGTTTAGTGGCTGTAAAGACTTTGGGCTTGGTGATGCCAGATTTGGCTCGGGTAATCATGGGATGGTGATTAACAGGAATAGCAGAAGGAGAGTGGGCTATTGGTGAAGAAAAGGGAGGAGGTTGGGTTGCAGGTGATGGTACCGAGATAGGTGAAGGGGTAGGGATGGGTGGAGGGGGAGATGGAGAAGTGGGAAGAGGTATAGTGAGAGAAATAGGATTGGGAAATGTAGGAGGAATAGGGGGAGAGGACTGAAGTAAGAGGGAAACCTGGGATTGTTTGAAAGGAAAAGAGGTTTCATCAAACACCACATGTCTCGAAATATAAAGCTTATTGGTGACAGGATCGAGGCATCGATACCCACTGTGGTTTAGGCTATATCCCAAGAAAACACAAAGCTTACTCTTGGGGGCCAATTTACTAGAAGAATAGGGTTGTAGCCACGGATAACATGCACAGCCAAATGTCTTCAAGGTGTGATATTTTGGTGAAGCTTTGAATAACAATTCCCAAGGACTAACAGAAGAAGTCTGAGGGGGCAGCCGATTGATCAAATAAACAGCAGTCTGAAATGCTTCAATCCAGTACTGAGATGGTAAACCACTCTGAGATAGCAATGTTTTACCCATTTCAACGACATGCCTATGTTTCCGTTCTGCACATCCATTCTGCTCAGGAGTGTGGGGACAACTTAATTGATGAGTGATACCATTAGCATTGAAGAAATTTTGCAAAGTAGCACTTAAGAACTCACCCCCTGAATCGGACCTGATACATTGAATCTTACTAGCAAAAAGTGTTTGAACTTTCATAACAAAAGTCTGAAGAACAGAACACACATCAGATTTGTAATGCAGTGGATATAACCAGCTGTACTTAGTAAAATCATCCACTAGAATTAGGTAATATCGATATCCAGTACAAGAAGGGGTGGGAGAAGGACCCCATACATCAGTGTAGACAAGATGAAATGGCCGAGTGGAAGTACAAGGCAAAGTAGAAAATGACAATTTAGAGGCCTTCCCCATTTGACAATCTAAGCAAAACGACTTCTGAGATACTGGACCAACAACAGACAATTGACCTTTATTTACTACTTTATGTAGAGCTAAACTAGAGGGGTGTCCAAGTCTTCTGTGCCATGTAGTGATGTCAGCTTTAGCAATCATTAAGGCATGAGGCGAAATGGCAATACCAGAAATACCATTGGAAGCATTCCAGTAGAAAGGGTACAGACCACCTTCACTGGGGCCCTGGAAAAGCATCATCCCAGTGCTTAGATCCTTGATGTAGAAACCAAATGGATCAAAGGTTAGGGAACACCAATTGTCATACACAAATTTATATACGGACAGGAGATTATGAAAGGCCTGAGGTACTAAGAGCACATCATGAAGTTGAAACACAGCATTAGGAGTGTTAATTAAAGCGTGGCCATTATGAGAAATACACAGACCTTTTCCATTACCAACAAGAAGCTGGTCAGGGCCATTGTAGGGCATAGCAGAATTGAGAGACGCTGGATCAGGAGTGACATGATGTGTAGCGCCACTATCAGTAATCCAATAACTTGGAGTAGAAGAACCAGTCATAGCAGTCAAACCCATAGGAGGAGGATGTTGAGAAGCAAACTGAGAGAGACGACTACAATAGAGAGCAGAATGGCCATATTGATTGCATAGTTGACATGGCATGGAACGACCAGAGAGAGCTGAAGAATGTCCCGACTGAAAATTGCCAGAATTTTGGCCAGTATTTCCAGAAAAGGAGGAACGAGAGGGAGCAGAACCAAGAATACCTCCAGAGTTGTTGTTTGGGCGATTTGGACCAGGAGTACGATGCTGAGGAAAACGATTACGATTCTGATAGTAATTACGATTCTGATTCTGGTATCTTCCTTTAGAACCTCCCCGAAATGAGGTTAGATTCGAAGATCCCTGTTGAGCAGCATAAGCATGAAATGGTGCAACAGTAGAAGAAGAAGATGCGCGAGTTTTGCGTTTCTGAAGAGAGATCTCCTTGCTGAGTAAGAGGCCATGGAGTTCATCACCATTCACAGACTCAGTTCTTGTTTCAATCGAATCAACAAACGATTCGTACTCATCAGGAAGACCAGCAAGAATATAAGCAACCAGATCAGAATCAGAAATCGGTTCTCCAGCAGCAGCAAGTTTATCAGAGACATCCTTAATAGAGTTCAGATAATCAGTCATGGAAGCATCACCTTTCTGAATGGTCTGGATCTTAGAGCGAAGACTGTGAACATGAGTGCGCGACGCTCCGGCGAAACGGCGTTCAAGAGACTGCCACAACGAGTGAGAATCTTCCATTCCAATAGTCAGGGGAAGAAGATCTTCAGCAACGGTGGAGTTGATCCAGATCGTTAGGATCTGATCACGTTCACATCACAAGTCATGTGCAGGATTGAGAATTTGAGATCCAGATGAATCACGAACAAACGGAGGAGGGCAAGGATCATCCTTAGTGATAAGGCCAAAAAGCTTGAACCGCTTAAGAACGGGAAGAAATAAGCTGCGCCAGGTGATGTAGTTCTGACGATTGAGTTTCGTCGGAACCATTCCAGCAATATTTTGGACAGTAATCGTCGCAATCGATGGAGGTACAGTGTTTGAGATCTCACCAAGAGGATGAGGACCAGAAGATGTAGCAGGAGAAGTGGAATCAGAGGAATTAAGAGTGGCCGCCATAGAAAGACAGACAAATTGCGCAGATGAAATGAGGAAAAATTAGGTAAGACGTGTTTGGGAGACAAGAAAATGCAAGAATTTCAAGAAAGTGGAAGCGGAGGATCGACGTCGGTGGACTCCGGCGAAGATACCATGTAGAAGTTTACAGAATTAAGAGAGAGAGAGAGATTGCAATTGTTAAAGAAAGAATGATTCTCATTAACTTCATCTGCAGGATACAAGGGATATATATGTGTACATAAAATATTTAATCAAATGCTGAGTCATCATCAATACTTTAGCTTAACAGCTAAGCTAAGTGCTAATCTAGTGCCTTATGCTCATTCTAGTCTGGTGGTCCTTCACTATCCTTAATATTGAGTACTGTGTGGTTGCTCTCGACACTGAAATCTTCTGTGAAGGGGAACCTGTGAGAAGGGAGGATGAGGAAAGAATGTTAAATGAGGTTGGCTATGATGACGTCGATGGAGTGAGGAAACAGATGGCTTAGATTCGCGAATTGGTGGAGCTGGCACTGAGGCATCCTCAACTGTTTAAATCAATTGGTGTGAAGCTGCCAAAGGGCATTCTGCTATATGGATCTCCTGGCACCGGCAAGACTCTAATTGCCCGAGCTGTGGCTAATGAAACTGGGGCATTTTTTTTTTCTGCGTCAATGGACCAGAAATCATGTTGAAGATGGCGGGGGAGAGTGAAAGCAACCTCAGGAAAGCTTTTGAGGAAGCAAAGAAGAATGCACCATCCATTATCTTTATTGATGAGATTGACTCAATTGCTCCCAACAGAGAGAAGGCACATGGAGAAGTTGAGAGGAGGATTGTTTCCCAGCTCTTGACACTCATGGATGAACTCAAATCCCGTGCACATGTAATTATTATAGGGGCTACAAATCGTCCAAATAGCATTGATCCGGCTCTTAGAAGGTTTGGAAGATTTGATAAGGAAATTGATATTGGTGTGCCCGATGAAGTTGGACGTCTTGAGGTTCTGCACATTCATACCAAGAACATGAAGCTGGCTGAAGATGTTGATTTGGATAAGACAGCTAAGGACACGCATGGCTACTGAGGGTGCGCTTCAATGCATCAGAGAAAAGATGGATGTGATTGACTTAGAAGATGAGGAAATAAATGCCGAGAGTCTTAATTCAATTGCAGTTACAAACCAGCACCCGCAGACTGCTCTTAGCACTAGCAACCCTGCTGCTCTTCGTGAAACAGTTGTTGAAGTGCCGAATGTTAGTTGGGAAGATATTGGAGGTCTCGAGACTGTTAAGAAAGAACTTCAAGAGACGGTTCAATATCCTGTGAAGCATTCTGAGAAATTTGGAATGTCCCCCCTCAAAAGGAGTTCTTTTCTATGGCCCTCCGGGATGTGGCAAATCGCTTCTCGCCAAAGCTATTGCCAACGAGTGTCAAGTAAACTTTATCAGTATCAAGGGACCTGAATTGCTTACGATGTGGTTTGGAGAGAGTGAGGCCAATGTACATGAAATCTTTGACAAGGCCCGCGGATTTGCTACTTGTATCCTGTTCTGTGACGAACTTGATTCCATTGCAACTCAGAGAGGGAGTAGTGTAGGTGATGCTGGGGGTGCTGCCGATAGGGTTTTGAATAAACTCCTTACAGAAATGGATGGGATATCGGCAAAGAAAACTGTTTTCATCATTGGGGCCACCAACAGACCTGACATTATAGACCCTGCACTTTTGCGTCCAGGCCACCTGGATCAGTTGATTTACATCCCTCTCCCTAATGAGGAATCTCGCTATCAAATATTCAAGTCTTGCTTGAGGAAGTCCCCAGTTCCTAAAGATGTGGACATCAGAGCCCTTGCCGAGTACACCAAAGGATTTAGTGGTGCGGATATAACAAAAATATGCCAGCGTGCTTGCAAATATGCAATAAGAGAGAATATTGTGAAGGATATTGAGAGGGAGAGGATGAGAAATGAGAATCCTGAGGCAATGGAGGTGGATGCTGATGATGAAGTAGCAGAGATCAAGGCAGCTCATTTTGAGGAATCGATGAAGCATGCTCGTAGGAGTGTTAGTAATGCTGATATCCGCAAGTACCAGGCATTTGCGCAGACATTGCAGCAGTCAATAGCGTTTGGAACGGAGTTCAGGTTCACAGGCAGTGCTTCTGGGGGAGGCACTGCATACGACTCTTGCAACAGCTGCTTCAGGGGCTCATGAAGATGACCTTTACAATCAGTATAGTTTCATGAATTAAGTGTCTTTTTCGAGTTTGAATTCTAACTCTGCGTTTCGTGTTATATCCATACGTTTTGGAAGTTAGAACCGTGGAAGTGTCCTGTGTTTACCAAGTGTTGTACCCAAAATAACGATCATATATCTCAGAGATAAATTTGGAAGTGGTTTACAGCATAAAATGTGATTTTCTTTCTTTTCATTTCGTAAATTTGCTACAAATATTACTTGCTTCGATAAATCTCTGTGGTTTTTAATACACATGTAAGTGATTTTCCTTTAATCGCCTATCATGAACACTAATAGGACAGGACACCGGCAACGTAGAAAGCATACAAATATCCAGTATTATACACTTCAAAGGATTATTTGCATTAGCTTTTCTACACGCGAAAGACTTTTTTTACATCCTAGCGCGCTACGCATGGTGTACAAAGTTTTTTTTTTTTTTTTTTTTTCTTTTCCTTTTTACATTCGAGCATTGCTTAAAGACATTTGTATGAAATCATAGTCTTCAAGGTCCTTTCATAGCTGCCTTTTCTTCTACTACCTTGCCTTTCTTTGGTGGAAGCTTGCAAATGTCTAAAACCATAGAAGCAATAACATTTTGAGACAACTTGCTGGTTACATTCTTGCAACAGTTTCACCACCAGATTTGAGATTTTGCCTTCCCAAAGTGATGTTAAGCCAGTCGTTAACTTTGCAAATGATGGCTTGTGTGAGAACCTCCGGAGAGGATTGGTGGAAATACAAGTGTATATCTGCATGCACAAATGACTAAATTCAATGTTAATGATGATGTGCTTACTTTCATACGAGACTAACTAAAATTTTAAAATATTTATAGGAAATAACAAGTGAAGAAATATACCCTGCAGCCATGAGCCATGGTAGAGAAGCTAGCTCGATGATCCTCTTTCTATTCCCCTTGTCCTCCGATTTCTCCCATGCCACCCATTTTTGCAGTAAAATAAGGTTCTTAACTGATGTAAATTGGACTGTCACAGTTTACCTCTCGCTTTTGCCTTTTCCCTGCTACTTTTCCTCCACTTCTTCCTCCTCTCTCCTCAATAGAAGTACCGATTCTCTAGTTCTAAATTGGTAATCATCATCATAGGAAGAAACTATGAACAATGTATGACCACCTTCGTGCATTCCACAAGGAAGTATTTATAGAAAACATTCCGATAAAACCGATGTTGGGCCGTTGATTGGTCAACTATAGAGTCAAATTATTCATCGGTTTCACATGAAGTCACATAAATTAATCGAAACAACTCATGAAATATTTTTTAATATTTATGTCTTTTCACGTGACCGAATAATTCAAATAATTTTTTTATTAGAAAAAAAAAATCAAGAAATAGAAATTTCTAGTGAAATAATAAATGAACGGCAAAACCGATCAGTTTCCCACGTTAAAAATTGTTTTGACTTGTAGTATACTACCTTTGTATTGGCTTTTTATTATATTTCTTAGTATTATGCTTGAATTGTGAATTTTCATATGTATCAATGAAATTTTTTGTTCTTTAAATAAATTTTTTTTTATTTTTTATTTTCTTTGTATGAAGTGTCCCCTTGGTTCAGATTTCTGGTTCGCATCTCTATAGCACCATATCATATACCTAATTAGTTAATACTTTCTATTGAAGTTTTTTGGGTTCTTTAGAGAAAGGCGCTTGGAACTCCTATTTTCCAAACAAAAACCTACATATATTAAATATTCAAATAAAACCTAAAATTCAAATAGAATACCATGTAGACAAATATATAACCAATTATTACAACATATTTACAACTTATGCCACAAAACCCTAATTACTCTTGAATGTTCATTTACTGTTATGCCTGTGTTAATATAGTAGATGTGTTCAGCGTGGTTTGAGTTAACTATTTAACTGATGTACATATCTATTTTTAGAAGTTGAGTGCATGCCGGCGAATACATTGTCAAATGGGAATGACTTAATTTCCTACAAATTAAGGTTGAAATCAAATCAACACGACCAAGACCATCCATCTGTTCGTCCATTTTCAACCAAACAAAAACATTTTCCTGCAAATTTGGCGGCACGAAGACTTACTCTTCCTCAAACACATATAAATAAGTAGCCCTTGAATCCACTCAAAGGCACCTCAATCGATTTCATCATTGTTTGTTAATTCTCTTTGTTAATTCTGTAAGTCTCGATCGACATCGATCAATTGATCAAAATGTATTTGCTCGGAAGGTTCAAGTTTAGCACACCCATCACGTATCTCTTGCTCTCTTTCCTTTTCCTTTTCTTCTCTGCATTGTCGGCTTACAACATAACTGACGTTCTAAGCAAGTACCCCGACTTCAGCACCTTCAACGACTACCTCACCAAAACCCGAATCTGTAACCAGATCAATGAACACAGAATTCTGACCGTCCTCGCTGTCAATAATGCAGCCATGTCCTCTCTAGATGGAAAATCAGTGGACGTGATCAACAAGGTGATACGCATCCACGTCTTTCTGGACTACTTAACATTGAATAAGTTCAAGAGCTTGCCTACTTCACTGACCACCCAAGTGACCACGCTGCTTGAATCTCCTGACCAACAACGCTACCTGAACATCACAAATGGGGACTCCGTCTCAATTGTTTCCGCTGCTGGTTCTGCTGAAGTAGAGGTAGTTCGAGATATTTCTCCAGATGAAATTTATATGACATCCGTGGTGCAAGTCAGCAATGTTATTATGCCCTCAAGCTTAAGCATTTCTCCCTCGCCATCGCCATCATCACCTTCACCTTCTCCTTCGCCATCACCATCACCTTTGTCGTCACCTTCTCCATCCCCTTCCCCTTCATCTGCACCATCCCCATCCCCATCCCCTCCTCCTTCATCGTCATCCGGTCCTTATGACATCACCAATGTTCTAAATGACAACTCAGATTTCAACCTCTTCAGCACCTACCTGACTCAAACCCAAGTCGCTAACCAGATCAATGAACGCAAAACCATGACAATCTTTGCAGTGAACAACGGTGCCATGGCCTCTTTAGTCGACAAACCAATGGAGATTAAGAAAAAGGTGCTGAGCCTTCACGTTCTCATGGACTACTACACCGTCCAGAGTTTCCACAACTTGCCTAGTGCGCAGTCCATTCGAATAAACACGCTGTTCCAAGTTACCGACAACCCAAGTGGCCAACTAGGCTTCGTGAACGTCACAAATGGGAACTCAATCTCGGTTGTTGCAGCTGCCGGTTCTGACCAAGCAACGGTAGTTCGAGACGTTTCTAACAACAAAACTAATTACATATCCGTGGTGCAGATCAGTAACCTACTACTGCCTTCAGAATTAACTGCATCTTCTTCCAACCCAGGCAAGTCACGATCTGCCACGCCTGTCAAGGCTCCGTCTAGCAGTATTGCAGCCGCACCAAAGCTAGGCGACGCTCCAGCGCAGAGTCCAACTGCAGCTGCTCCAGCCCCGCATTCATCTGCACGTGCTTCCACTAATTCTCTGTTAACTATAATCTTTCTGTCCGCTTTGTCTCTGACTTCCGTGATGCTCATTTGAGTTGAAGTATTTCTTAATTTCCTCAAATAATGTCATCAAGTCTCAAAAATTAATGAAGCCCTCGATCAACAATTTTGAGTTTGTTTTCAAATATTTCTAGCAGAGGTATTTTTCTAATTGTAAAATTAAGAAGAAGAAGAAGAAGAAGAAGAAGAAGAAGAAGAAGAGAGAGAGAGAGAGAGAGAGAGAGAGAGAGAGTAAAGTCATGATGATTAAAATAGCCTAACTTGCTAATTACAAATGGTTGTGTGAAGACCTATGAAGAAATTTCCCAAATTTTAATCTTGCAAAACTAACATCTACGTGATTACTGATTTTCACGAAATGTAGACTTTGGAGACGCAGTGAAACCTTTCTCAATTAAAATAAGTGAAAAGGTAGATGGATTGAGGAACCCAAACCCAAGTGATAAAAATCTCAATTAAATTTCAGACGAGGTAGGATTGAAATATGATTTCAATCCTACTACGTAACAGTGAAGAACTAAAACAAATATGCAGATAAAAGGAACAAATGGTAAAACCCACACACAATGAGGAAAATCGATGAATACAACCGGTTAAAGAATTCACTGAGGAATAAATACTTTTGAAGACTTACCAAGATAAACAATTACCACCCTTGAACTTCTCTCTTGTACTTATGTTCTTGTAGCACGCTGTCCTTCCTTTGCTTTCTTTAAGATGAACATTGTGGATGTAACTTTCGTACACGGTTGGATTGATGAAATTTCACCAGTAAGAGAACAAACACCGTTAGTCTAATTAATGAACACCACGAAAAAGGGGAGGGTGCCAGCTAAAGGGCATCTGATGCCTAAGTTAGAAAAATAGTCGAGAGAAAAGAGAACTTGAGAGAGTTATGAGTAGTAAGTGGTGATTACTGTTTCATCTGTTTTACCTGGCTATTTATAAAGAAAAACCCTAGACAACTGGGAAGGGAGGCTACACAGCATACTAGGCAATTCTCAATAATATAGGTAGTCTCCACAGTCTTGCTAGCTAGCAGTCTTGAAGGTCCATGTTGGTATGTGCGTAGTTGAGCCAACCACCCAAGGGGAGACTCTTCAGAATCGGTGCCTTACCACCATTGGACCAGGTATGGCTGAATACAAGACGTATTATAGATGGGCCGAAGATCCGATGATCCGCGCCCTGGACGGCTTGGAGAGCCCATGGACCATTAATGGCATGAAAGACCAATTACCTTAGGGCACACTACGTCTTATTCTCTTGGAGTAGTTATGTGGTCTACTCACGACGTCAAGAGTAAAACCGCCATATTGAGAATAATGTCCACGTATCCTTTTATCAAATGTGGTTAATTTATGTCTCCACAAACACAATGCACACAACAGGCCCTCCTCACGAGCAAAAAGTTTGCACAGAGCTTCTTCTAACAAATGATTGTTTATGAATGAATGTGATAGTTAAATTTCTAAAGCCTCAGAAAGATTTACGATGAAACTCACTTTTGCTCTCAAATGCAATATGAAACTCAAGGGTTCTGCAAGCCATTTTTTAGCGATGTAAACCCGGTTATTTAAAGGGACTCACAACCCTAAGAAATAGGACTACATAACTTTTATTAAACACATAATTATCTTTCCCTTAAATAACTAATTAATTATTCCTATTAAAGAAATAGATTAGCTAAGTATCATAATCCTATAAAACTTAATTACTCAATTGTGATCCCTAAATGAATGCATATGAATCTTACCATGGGATATCCACGAAATCTGCTCTTTTATTAATGAATTGTCGTGCACCCAAAGTCTTTGACACCTATACCTCAGACTTAAGACTAGTATGAAATTAGGGACTAACTAGTTAAAATTTTTAGACAATGAATACAAAGATTAGTTCATCTTTGACCTCTCTCAAGTCTTTAGGTCTCTATTGTGGTCACACGTCAGGAGAGAGGAGAGGTGGATAGTGCAAACCGGCTTACAGCCACGTTTGCTAAAGCCTAGAGCAATCTTCCTTCTTGCAGTTTCGATTAATTTAGTGTAGATTAAAGCATCTCGAAATAATTAGGCAAAATAGATTTGCATGCAAGTCAAATGTGGCTCCAAAGGACTAGCAAATGCCTAGGAAAATGGATTTACTACGCCACGAAAGTAAAATGCGCCCTGTAATTTCAATTATCCTATTGTTTTTCACAAACAAACAAAAAAGAGATGGACAGTGAAATATTTGCACCTCCAAAGCTCTCCCAATTTTGTACAGGCAAATTCTAATATCACTAACTACGCTCTACAGTTACAAATGTTAAATTGTGCTAAATCAAGACCCGTGACTATGCAAAGTGATTGCTCAATCGAGACTAGGGTCACTTTGGAGTAAAGACTTAACAATGTACAAATTTTAAAAGCTTTTGAATCACTAAGAGCATGTTTACTTGTACCAGGAATCGATATGAAACGTATTGATTATTTTGTCTAATGCTGACATCTATGAGTTTGCTAACGCAAACGGAATGAAAAAGTAAGTGGGTCTGTCCTTGAAAATTGTGAATGTAACACCTAAACAGACAAGTATTGGATCACCAAGAAGGGTCGTTAAATCACACCTACACAATCAGGTAATATTCGTATATCTCACTCATGATCCTCTCATATAAACATGTCCTCGTATGATTTGGGATCTTTGACTTGATTTTTTTTTGTCTTGGTATCATCTATATCGAGGTTCTCTTTATTTCAACAAGTTTTTTAATTTTCTGGTGATCACACGTCTTCTTATGTATGACAAATTTTCAAGTCAAATACGTGATATGGAGCACGTGTAGCACACATGGTACAACCTGCTCTCATACCATGAAGAAGTTGGGGTTCCATTAGCTACATGGGGATTCATCCAACCTCTTGTAAGTCTTTACAAGGTTTCTCCTTTCATCGATATGAGACTCTTTTACTTTCACATTTTCACAGTGAAAATATGTCAAAAGTTGTTTCAATTATTAGATGACGCTTTACGCAGTGGAGGAAAACAATAATATCTATGCACTTGGGCCTGATGCTGGTTCGATCCTCACCCATCCTCCTTCTCCCTAACATTTGACAATTTAATCTACTACCGCTATCGTCTGGAAAAAAAAAAAGAAAGTTGTTTCAATTAGTTTTAGATTTTTGGAACTACATGTCTAGTTTTGTAACTTCACGTGAAACTAATGAACAATTTGTCTGTACGTATTTAAACAAGCTTCGACCCACCATCGGTTTTATCGACCAAGTTTTCTATAAATACCTCTTTTTCAAATCCACGAATATATCTCATACTATTTAGTGGTTTCTTTCTTTGATGATGCTCACTGATTCAGTACTTGGGACTTCGTTTTTTGGTTTTAGAGTGAGGAGCAAGAAGTGGGGGAAGAGGGGCAGGGAAAATGGAAAGCTAATGGTATACTTGAGCCGGTTCAATTTACATCAATTAATAACATTATATCGTTGTAGAATTGGGTGGCATGGGAGAAATTGTGGACAGAGTGGAAAACAAGGCTCGTGGTTGCGAGGTAAATTTATTCACTTGTTATTTGTTTGTTTGTTTGTTTGTTCTTTATTTTTATTTTTTCAATCACTACAGAATTTTCATTACTTGGTAACATGCGCTGAAGTGTATACGTTTAGTTTTCTGTAAAAATAAGCACATCGATCATCATCATACATATTTCATTAATGTATTCGTGTGTACGAATTTGCAGATACAACTACTTGGCCCTGTAAGTACTTCTAAAGAATCCCATCTATCTTCCTCCCATCTACCCGGGAGGTTCTCGCTTAAGGCAGCTTGGTCATGTCGTCCCCATCATTCTGCCGAACAGTGCGATTTTCCAGCGGATTTTCTGCAGGCATCATGTTTTCCATTTCACAAAGATGTCCACAGGCTTGATGTCCCTTTCGGAGGGGAAAAGTCTCGAGAACTTGTGGTGATTCCTGTTGCATTCTTACTTCTTGCTCATGCATGGAATTTACACAAGTTCAAATCTTGAGGGAATGTACAAAATATAGAGGAAAGTTGAAGGGCTGTACATGTCACAGGTCAAAAGAATTAACATACTCGGATCAGCGCAGGGATTTCACTCTGAAACTAGCAAGTTGTCTCAAACATGTTACTGTTTTTATTGCTTAATATTTCTGTTTTGATCCTTTGTATGCCTTCTAGTATTGCGGTTTATCAGAAAACAAATTGATACGTAAATAAAGGAAAATTATTTGTTAGTAATACTAGCCTAGTATTACTGGCTGGTTCCTAAAAAAAATTAACGGCTCAATGTAATTTTAGATTAAAATTCAAACAGTCTGCAATGTAAATACAAATGAATGTTTATTTAAGAATGTAAATAGTCTTTTCCTAAGTTGAATGCAAATAATAATAATAATAATAATCCACATTTGAATGTAAATACAAAATTGATTATCTAGAATATTCGACCACGTGAAATTGCAAGAAAATTGAAATATGTGTCAGAGCTGTTACGATTAGCCTTAGATTTTGTGTCATTTTTGCAACTTCACATCAAAGTAAAGCAATTTGTCTGTATTTTTTTTTTTTAACAAACGGTATTATCTACACTAAAAAAGTGGGGTGGGGATAAGTCTCATAATATGATAGCAATAATGTGGTTCAAATTCATCTTTGGCGATAATCGAACCTAAGACCTAATTTGTCTGTATTTAAACAAAAAGATATGATAAGCATACTCTTATTTTCTTCTTATACTCTTAAGCTTAATCATGTCCGTTATATGCGTTTTATTTATTTGATTTGATGGTAAAAAATAAACAAAAGTGTCTGAGAAACGAAAAGAAAAAAGTTAACGGTGGGTAAAAGTCAGCTTCCTTGTACAAACGTAGAAGCCAATAATCAGTTTTCACGTTTAGTGGGAGGAAGAAGTGGAGGAAGAAGAGGACGGAAAAACGAAGGTGAAAGGTAAACGAAAGAGGCGGTAAAGTTTACCCAAAGTTAAATGCACATAAGACCCGGACTGTTTGTGGTCTCTGCAATTGCCATGCAAACATATTATTTTGACAATAATTTTTTTTTTGAGTGTGAATCTGCCAACTCTATCCAATTTCCTTACATTTATCATATTATTTACTATGGCCACCCCAAAAAAAAAATACTTAGAAAACCCACCTCAAAGAATCAGTTTGGATCTCATAATTATTTACATTTATCTTAATTATTTACTACTACCGCTTAAAACTGCAGAGTCGTTAAACTTTTAAACGTAATTAATTTGATTTTCCTGCAGATTTTCATCTGGCATCTACAGTGTTGGTTATTCGGAAGAGTTAATGTTCCATCCTAAAATCAATTTCAATAAGAGATTAACCTAATTTGTTGTAAGCTCACACAAAATTTCTTTATTTTCTAACCCGTTAAGCTTCATACATGAACTAATTAACCTTTGTAACATGAAAAAATTATTAAAAAACAATTAACAATAAAGAGTGGCTCAGCTCTTCATAAGTTCTTAAATGGTTTCTTAATTTACAGATGGAGAACAACACTTCACGCCCTAACACTACTGTTGCGAAGGTGAAATAAATATCGTGAAAAAATTTGACATGAGATAAAAAAATATATTATGTAGCGAAAAAGTTATTGGGCATATGCACATGTGTAGTTATAAAAATGTACTAAATTGTTGGTTTATTTTTAGATAAGTTTCAAGTGCGAAAACATTGTCAACTGGGACAGACCGACTCTTCCTTTACCATGACCATCCATCTCGTCCTTCTTTTTCAACCAAACAATAACATGTTCCTGCACATTTGGCGGGGCAAAGACTCACTCTTCCTCAAACACATATAAATAGATCCATCTTTCAACCCACTCGTAGGCACCTCTTTCTTTCTTTGTCTGAACTTCGCTCCTCTATCTGTAATCAAATCTCAAAATGTATTTACAAAAGTTCAATGCACCCGTTGCTTACCTCCTGCTATCTTTCCTTTTCGTTTTCTTTTCGTCATCGTCTGCATATAACATCACGGACGTTCTCAGCAAGTACCCTGATTTCAGCATCTTCAACGACTACCTCACCAAAACCGAAGTTTGCAACCAGATCAATGAACATAGAATTATGACTGTCTTAGCTGTCAACAATGCTGCCATGTCCTCTTTAGTAGGAAAATCAATGGACGTGATCAACAAGGTAATACGCATCCACGTGTTTCTGGAATCCTATACCCTCACCAAGTTCAAAAGCTTGCCTACATCACAGACCACCCAAGTGACCACACTGTTCGAATCTCTTGACCAACAACGCTACTTGAACATCACAAATGGGGACTCTGTCTCAATTGTTTCCGCTGCCGGTTCTGAAAAAGTGGAGGTAGTTCGGGACATTTCTCCTGATGACATTTATAGGATATCAGTGGTGCAAGTTAGCAATCTAATTTTGCCTTCAAGCTTAAGTAGTTCACCGTCTCCATCAGCATCTTCACCAACTCCAACACCTTCTCCATCATCACCTTCTCCAACCCCGTCACCTTCTCCATCAGCACCTTCTTCATCACCTTCTCCAACCCCGTCACCTTCTCCATCAACACCTTCTTCATCACCTTCTCCATCAACTAGTTCTCCATCCCCTTCATCATCCATGTTTAACATCACCCAAATTCTAAACAAGTACCCAGAATTCAGTATATTCAACGACTACCTAACCCGAACACAAGTTTGTGACCAGATCAATGAACGCAGAACCCTTACGATCCTCGTGCCCAATAATGAAGCCATGTACTCTTTAGTAGGACAACCAATGGACATGATCAGAAAGGTGCTAAGCACCCAAGTTGTACTGGACTACTATACCATCTCGAAGTTCCACAACTTGCCTGTTTCGCAGTCCACTCGAATAATCACACTGCTTGAAGCTTCTGATAAACCAAGTGGCCAACAGGGTTTCATGAATGTCACAAATGGAGATACAATCTCGATTGTTTCAGCTGCTGGTTCTGACCAGGCATCAATAGTTCGAGATATTGCTTCTGATGAAAATTATTATATATCGGTGGTGCAAATTAGCAAGGTAATAATGCCCTCAGGCTTTATTTCACCATCTTCATCACCTTCTCCATCAGTATCTTCACCTTCTCCGTCAGTACCTTCACCTTCTCTGTCAGTACCTTCACCTTCTCCGTCCTCTCCTCCTTCATCACCTACTTCATCAACTCTCAATATTACCAAAATTCTAAATGACTATCCAGATTTCAGCCAATTCAATAGCTACCTGACCGACACCCAAGTTTGTGACCAGATCAATGTGCGCACATCCATCACAGTCTTTGTGGTCAACAACGCTGCCATGTCCTATTTAGTTGGAAAATCAAACGAGGTTAAGAAAAGGTTATTAAGCCTCCACGTTGTTATGGACTACTATACCTTTGATAAGTTTAAAAGCTTCCCTAACTCCCAAACCACTCAATTGACAACATTACTCCAAGATACTTTCCAATCGATTGGCTTTGAAGGTTTGTTGAATGCCACAAATGGGGACACAGTCTCGATTGTTTCTGCTGCTGGTTCTGAGAAAGCAAAGGTTGTTAAAGATATATTTACGGAGAACTTGAAACTATCAGTCGTGCAATTAAGCAATCTAATTGTTCCTGTAGACTTAAATAGTTCACCTTCTCCGTCAGTACCATCTCCATCTCTTTCTCCGCCAGCACCATCTTCATCTCATTTATCTCCTTCTCCATCAACCTCAGCACCATCTCCTTCCCCTCTTCCTTCACCACCATCAGGTCCTTTTGACATCACCAAAATTCTAAGCAACAACCTGGATTTTAGCCTCTTTAGCACCTACTTGACTCAAACCCAAGTTGCTAACCAAGTCAATGAACGCAAAACCATGACAGTCTTCGTGGTCAACAATGATGCCATGGCCTCTTTAGTCGACAAACCCATGGAGATCAAGAAAAAGGTATTAAGCCTACATGTTATCATGGACTACTACACCGTCCAAAGTTTCTACAATTTACCTGCTTCACAGACAATTCGAATAAAAACACTGCTCCAAGTTATTGACCGACCAAGTGGCCTACAAGGCTTGGTGAATGTTACAAATGGGGACACAATCACAATTGTTTCAACTGCTGGTTCTGACCAAGCAGTGGTTGTTCGAGATGTTGCTAATGATGAACGTTCCTATATATCAGTGGTGCAAATTAGCAATATAATACTCCCCTCAAGCTTTATAGCACCAACCCCTTCGCCTTCTTCAACCCCAGGTAAGGCACGATCTGCTGCACCAGTCCAGGCTCCATCTGGCAGCCCTGTACCTGAGGCACCAAAGCAAGGCGAAGCTCCACCACCATCAAATGCAACATCACCCGACACACCAAAGCAAGGGGAAGCTCCACGAGCATCAAATGCAACAGCACCCGTGGAACCAAAGCAAGGGGAAACTCCACCAGCATCAAATGCAACGGCACCCGGCGCACCAAAGCAAGGGGAAACGCCACCATCTTCAAATGCAACAACACCCAAAGCAGCAAATCAAGGCGAAGCTCCATCAACAAATTCACCAGCATCCGACGTACCATCGAGTTTAGATGTTGCACCCAGCTCAGAAAGTACTTTACAGGGTACAACATCTGTTGCTCCTACCCCATCTGGGAGTCCTGCAAGGTTTTCCGTTGACTGTGCTTCATTTATAACTACAATTTTGGTAACTGTTTATTCTCTAACTTGCATTAGACTGACTTGAGTTGCAAGAAAAATGTGGTTCATGATCTTAGAATAAGGAAGAAGAATCGCATGGTAAAGCAAGCAGGTGATTGAAATTTGTTCTTGGTAGACAAACGATACACATAAGCTGCGAAAAATGTGTGCATCTTTCAGTTGTATTGTGTTAATTAGTTTCTAGTGTTGGAGTTAGTCATTTTTGTAGTTGATTGTATCAATTTTGGCATTGTTTTGCAAGAAACAAAGCGCTTTAGCAATAAAATTTGTTCATTGCATTCCATTTTTCTTTGCAAACTTTTCAATGGTTCTGAATTCAGAGCTTGATTTTCTACTTTTCTTGATTTTCAATGGATTAACCCATTGTCGTTTGAGGAATTGAAATCAATTTTGAAACTAAACCAACTTTTGGTTTTGGACAACCCATTGTCGTTGTGGGTCAGATCACCAGAAGTTGCTAAGCAACCTATTAGTTCCCACCCTTCTATTTGTAACAAAGGCCACAAGAGGAGTCTAGGTTGATTGACTTACTGTGGTCAGGAGCTTTTGCCGTCTGCAGTCATAAGTTTTTTCCATTTACGGTCTCTTTGTTATTGTTTTACACAATGATTTTTAATTATAAATTTGTTCTTTACAAAATTATAGTTTTATTCGATAATGATATTTTGGGAAAGAAAATTAAAAGTACAAATATGTCTTGACACACCCCGACCGAGATCAAGGCATGTTGGCCGTCACGTGGAAGTGACGTAACCATGTGCATAGTGCGGAAGCTAATAAATAATAATAAAAGTACGAATAAATAAAAACCAGCTATACACAAAGTAATACCATACATGTGTAAGCGTAAGTGTGAGAAACAAAGTTCAAAGCACGGAAGACCTAATGCAGTCCGGGAGAAACAACACTAAATAAACACACCCAAATGTGGTCCTACACTGGTGATAATCTGTCAGATAAGCCGGGAAAATCCTCTGGGGAGCCACAAAAGCGCTAGCCGAACTAGAACATGGAGGGGCGCAAAACAGAAAGCGTGAGTGGGTAAAAACAAAGCTTTTCAAAAATCATTTCATAAACAAAGTTCTAACCCCTCGCCGTAAAACCTATATACCTCCCAGAAAATAAAATATATACATATATATATAAGTCATGCTCAGAAATATGCCATGCCAAATGCCTCGAAATAAATGCAAGTACTCAGGTAATTCCAATCCATGCCATATAATCTGTCAGCCGGAGTCACCTAACGTGACCTGTACAGCTGAATCTAGAGCTCAAATCTCCAACGCACTAACTATACCTGTACACGAGTCGGAATCACCTAAAGTGGTCTGTACGACAGGACTGGGTGTATAATAAGTACGCTCAAGTGCTACGATCACGTGAAGACTAGGCGAATAATCGCGGGTCACCTACGAGTCGAAACCACCTAAAGTGGTTTGTACGATAGGATTGTGCACCTAACTTGGATCCAAGATGAGCGTGTGGTGCGGGAGGTGAACATCACGTGAAGGACTGTGCCCAACTCTGGGAGGGAGCACTAATACCGGGGGTGCAGGTTATAAGTTCTCTATGCATCTCAAATCACTACTAAACATAAACATAAATCATAACTTACCTGTTACTTACATGTGTGTCCGCAACACCAACACACATATATATATGCAACTAATAATGCATAATTAAATGGGCAAACATAATGCATGGCGTATAAACGTATAAACGTTTCATTTCACTTTCTGGGAAAAACATAAGTATATAGGTATATACGGAAAAACCAAAAGCCCACTCACTGGTATGTAGAAGGGTCGTAACCCCTTGCCTCGAGTGACTGCGCTCGTCCTCAGGAGAGGTCTCACCTATAGTGCACATCCACATGCCCGGGAGTGATCTTATATGTATATATCCTACCTGCCGAGGCCTTTGGAGCTCACTGCTTCGGGTTCGTAGAACTCCGAATAAACAACTAATTCCCAAGGGTGACCATCAGGAAGTTCTCGTGTGATTCAAAAATAAACCGCGGGCGTGGTGGGCCCAAAGCGACATATCGGCTCCGGCCGGAATCATCCCACCCGGGCCGGGATGTGACAATTTGGTATCAGAGCCTAACCCTGGTCGCGAGTGTGTCGACGAGGACGTCGGACCCCAAAGGGGGGTGGATTGTAACATCCCACATCGCCCAGGGGAGTGATCCTTATATGTATATTCCTATCCTTACCTAGCACGAGGCCTTTTGGGAGCTCACTGGCTTCGGGTTCCGTAGGAACTCCGAAGTTAAGCGAGCTCGTGAGTTCCCAAAAACAAAACCGTGAGGGAATGGTAAGCCCAAAGCGGACAATATCGTGCTACGGTGGTGGAGCGGGCCCGGGAAGTGATCCGCCCCGGGCCGAGATGTGACAATTTGGTATCAGAGCCTAACCCTGGTCGCGAGTGTGTCGACGAGGACGTCGGACCCCTAAGAGGGGTGGATTGTAACATCCCACATCGCCCAGGGGAGTGATCCTTATATGTATATTCCTATCCTTACCTAGCACGAGGCCTTTTGGGAGCTCACTGGCTTTGGGTTCCGTAGGAACTCCGAAGTTAAGCGAGCTCGTGAGTTCCCAAAAACAAAACCGTGAGGGAATGGTAAGCCCAAAGCGGACAATATCGTGCTACGGTGGTGGAGCGGGCCCGGGAAGTGATCCGCCCCGGGCCGAGATGTGACAATTTGGTATCAGAGCCTAACCCTGGTCGCGAGTGTGTCGACGAGGACGTCGGACCCCTAAGAGGGGTGGATTGTAACATCCCACATCGCCCAGGGGAGTGATCCTTATATGTATATTCCTATCCTTACCTAGGACGAGGCCTTTTGGGAGCTCACTGGCTTTGGGTTCCGTAGGAACTCCGAAGTTAAACGAGAAGGGGGCTAGAGCAATCCCATGATGGGTGACCCACTGGGAAGTTGCTCGTGAGTTCCCAAAAACAAAACCGTGAGGGAATGGTAAGCCCAAAGCGGACAATATCGTGCTACGGTGGTGGAGCGGGCCCGGGAAGTGATCCGCCCCGGGCCGAGATGTGACAATATGCGAAACAACTATAAATACGTTAATTTTAAAGCACATAACCAACATTACGAAATAACTTCTCATACAATGCTCAAATGGGGTGTATGAATACACCAACGTGATCTACTCATCCTCACGAACATCCCCGTATTTTTAAAATAATTTTCTGACGACGCATGCGCCCCCACGGGCCGGCCAAGGCACGGCCACATGCGCTGCCCATGCGCAGGCACGGCCACATGCGCTGCCCATGCGCAGGCACGTGTCTGGCACACTGACGGCGTCAGTTAACGCCGTCAGGAATATTCCGTTAACTCTGACGGATTCCGTTAACGCCGTTAGGAATATTCCGTCCAAACTGACGGAATATTCCGTCGTCTTCTTCGGCCAACCTCCGACGCCGGAAAACCGGGAAAAATTCAAAACTTTGTATCTTCTTCGTTTTTCAACCAAATTTCACAAAATTGGTACCAAAATGAAGCTTACAACAAGATGAACAAATCGATACCACTTTCAAGCACTAAAACCCATGGAATCTCGCCGGAGAAAACAGCACCAACTTCGGCCAAACCTGTAACTCACGATCCCGATGTCCAAAACCTTTAAACGAACCACCCCGAGCCTCCTAAAGACCTCACCAAGCTTCCTACAAGCTTGAAATTCCCAAAAACACAAGAATTAACTTGTGCATGAACAGTGACCAAATCGGGAGATCCCGTGTTCGATGTGAAAACAAAGGTATCCTTACCTGAAATGGGTATGGTTGAACTCCTAAGGACCTCACGAGCACAACTGTGTAACTTGTTTCCTCGATCTGTGAAGATTTCAAGGGTTTTGGGTGGTGTTCGTACGAAAAGGATAGGAAAGGGAGAGAGAGAGGGGCTCGGGATAGGGCAGAGAGAGAGAGGAAATGAGTGTGGTGTGTGTGTGTGGTCCAAACTCCACCAACCAAAGCCCAAAAATAACCACACAACGAAACAAACATACTAAAGGCAAAACCATTATTTCACCCCTTCGATACGAAAAGTCCGGGATGGGCTGTCACATGTCTGGTACTTAAATTTAAAATGTAAAACTTTGGAGCTGTTTGATAACCATTTTGTTTTCACTTTTCAACAAAATAAAATGAAAACTGAAAGCCATACTTGAAAAAACTATAAAAAGTTGCAGCTGTTTATAACAATTTGTTTTCAATTTTGAAAAATAAAATAAAATAGAAAACTGAAAATGGTAAGCCTAAATTTGAAAACTTAAAAAACTTCGCAACTGTTTAATAACCATTTCATTTGGCTAAAAACTCGTTTTGTAACTGTACAATCAGTTTTTAGGGTTTCCAAAATTTGGCTTTCAATTTTGAAAAATAAAAACCAAAATTAAAGTAGTTACTAAAAGAGTTTTCTTTTCAATTAAATGAAAATTTAAAATTTTAAAATTAAAAAAATAAATCGGGCCTCGTTTTGTTAATGAACATCGCCGTAGAACTGATTAGTCTAACTAGAAACATGCAATCTTATTCAAACTTGATTCTTTAGCAAAACGAAATGCAAAGTTTTTTGGCCTGCAGTTTTAACACCAAATGTGAAGCTAGTTGGCTACAAATCGGTTTTCATAAGGAAGCATAGTGAGAAGAATGAAGCATTGCAACCTCATTGCGCAAGACTTCTTTAAATTCTCTAGGATTGATTGCGAGGAGACCTATTCCCCGTAGTGGACATCATAACATGCTGCTACCTTATCAATTTAGTAGTTTTTGAAAAATTGAATATGCAATTTATGGAGGTGGTAACCACTTCTCTCTATGGGTAAATTATTAGAAGCTTATTCAAAGTCACTACCAAAGTCAAATTTTTAGAAGCTTGTTTGAAAAATTGGTATGTGTAAATTATCTGAATTGCAATGTTTGTAGTTCTCAGGACAAGTTTTGTTAAACTCAGTGAAACTATGTCTTGAAATATATTCATTTGACCTTAATGTACCTTTTTTTCGATCAGAATCATTTTATCCCATTGGGATTGTGTTGCCTAATGAGATTTTGATGATGCACCCATTCTGTGTTGGTCATACCTTTTTGTGCTTCCTACTTATCCTGAAAATGTTAAGTGTTGACATATTGCATTGACTCAATTTTCTTCTTAGATTATGGGTTTTGTCACATCTTGGGTTTTACCATAACCAGATTTTGTGAGACTTACTCTTATATGCATTCCCCTATTTGAGACTTACATTTGCTATATATGTCAACTAAACGAGACGACTTCATCAACTACTTCTAGATCATCCATGGAAATCTGATACACCGATTACTTGAGTAATACACACTCAAGTGGAAGTGTTGAAGTTCTAATTTAATTAGGAATGTGATTTTGTTGATCATGATAGACTGTGTTTAAGATTATCTTCTAGATGTTTCCTATAAACTTTCGCCTAACATATAGGGCAAGTAAGCTATGTCGACTATAAATAAAGGCACAAGTGATGAAAAAGATCCTCACAAAAATTTCCCAACTCTCTGTTTTTCTCTCTCTCTCTCCATGTGCCGCACCCTCTCCTCTTCGCTCACTAAAATAGGCCAACAACAAGGATCATTTTTAAGAAGAGAAAAAACGTTTTTACTTTTATTTTTTTTAACTACCTACCATATTGAAATGCTATTAAATTTCCAACGAGAGTTGATTTAGTTGGTAAGGATCATTCTCTTTGTTAGACCAAGGTTTAGGTTCGAGTCTCGCTGCTTGCAATTCTCCTTGATGAGCACTCTGTAAAAACCAAAAAATAGGGCTAAGACCCCTCTGTAAGTCCTTCAAAAGACTTGTGGCATGGACTGGCCCTGGGATGTGATAGCTTCCCTTCCACCTAACTTTTTGTTGCTGAAAAAAATGCTAATAAATTATGCTATCTTATTTTTTTGACAAACTGTAAATAATCTTCACTACATTCATGTAAATTATAGAAAAGAGAAGAGTTGAATCCAGCATGTAATAGGTTGTAGAAGAAAGCCTTATCTACTTGAGGCAATCCACTAGTTGCAAATTAATTAAACCACTTTTGTGTTCACGTATTGGCGTCTGTTAGTTGTTGACATAGCTGATATGATGCCCACTTCTACATGGTAATCAGACCATATGACCTACTCAATTTTAGTCTAACTCAAATCTCATTCCAATGAAGGCTAACTCAACATTTAAATCTTCACGATTTGCTTGTTTTATTACACGATGATGGCTATAGAAATATAAAATATCTCTGTGAATCTTTATAATCCCGTAAAGGTAGATTGCTATTATAAAGTCGTCAGCTTGTCCTCTTTTTATAAAGGAAAAATGGAACTTTGTATTAGAGCAAAATTTGGTGAGAATTAACTCGGTCTTGAATTGGCTGCATAGGCAATTAAAGTACGCCTATATGCTCAGTTATAATATTGAGTTGAATATACTTTACGATTCCAACAGTAATATGAACTATTTAAATACTTTTCCTAACACAATATATTTACATTAAGTGGTGGAAGGAATAAATTGGTTTCAAACTCGTCATTCGTGTCATTTAATACTACGATCTAGTAGTATTTATTTTCTCCTATAAGTGAGATGTCTTAAGTTGGATTCTTGCCAAAGGCGAATTTGAATCATATTATTGTTAACTCATTGTGAGGCTAGAAGCACTTCCACCCCTAAAAGCTCATTGGGCAATAGACAATTCAATCTCTCTCAAGTGAAGAGTAACTGCCCAATGCATCTCCATACCTAAACTTCCACCCAAGTAAGCAATAATTATCTTTAATGAATAGTAATAATCCAAGTGCATTTCTACCCCTAAACTAAATAGCCTAGGCTATTGGTATTTAAATATTATTATTATTTATAAAATAATAAAAGATAATTTTATTTTTAATTTTGGATAATAATAAAATATTGATTGAAAGTATTTGAAAATATTGAAATGTGATGTAAAGTGGAAGAACATGATTAGGTATTTATGGAAAAAAAATAATTTTTTGTATTTTTAATTCATTCTTATATTTTTTGTATTTTCAACTAATTTTCTATAACTTTTTATTAAATTTTATAATTTTTTTTTAATTTTGGTTGACGTTAATCTTACTTCACATGGCTTAGGAGTTAGGGCAGTCGATTTTTGAATCAGCTTAACTGGGTCCCCCAATAGCCCAATGGATACAAATGGGGCTGGAGGAATTTTGGAAGGGGGGAGCTGAATTAATCCACTATCCCTATGAGATTTGAAAGGGGTGGAAGTGTTTTAAGTTCATCCCGTCCCACGTAGATAATATAAAAATTGAACTCATCATTTATAAGATTTGAACTTAATTAATTTTACTTCTAAATGTAGAGAAATAATACTACTTGAACGATTTATTACCAACAACTAAAATTAACTGGTTCGCATGCTCCTCATGTAAAGTTTCGGAAAGGATCCAAATCAGTATAAGTTATAACAAATGGAAGGAACCAAATCCGTTCTGAACCCAAAGAAACTGAGCCTAAGGATCAAATGATCCAGACCATTGAAATTTGATCTAATAACTACAATTATTATAACTTTTAGAGGGACCCCTGTTCGTAACCATTAAATCAAATTTCAATGGTCCGGATCATTTGATTTTTAAGCTCATATTTTTTGGATCCGGAGGGAATCCGGTTCCAAATGGAAAGAGTTTTTTTTTTATTAAAAAAACAATATAAGGAAACCGAAAGATTTTTTTATTTTTTTTTATTTTTTATGAGAATAGTCTTGAATATACCAGATTACCCTTTACTTTGGACCGAAAGATAAAAAAAGTAGGATAATATCGCAAAATCACCCAATAAAATATAAAGATTTCCCAACCCAACTGAAAAAATATTATATACGAGGGACGGAAGGAGGCATATAGTTACAAAATTGCAGAGCGACAGAGAAAGCGAGAGAGATGTCTTCCGGCGTCCGGGAGAGAGAGAGGGTGTTTGTGGAGCACTGTAAGGGCGCGAATGGTCTTGACAAGGTTGTTCTCAGAGAGGTTCGAGGCTCCTCCGCGGAGGTACCACCCACCACCGACCCTTCTCTTTCTCCGATGCTTTTTCATTTTCTTCAACGTTTTCTGATTCTGATTTTCCTCTTTTTATTGTCGCTGATTTATTTTTTTCTTGATTATTTCCTCTATCCTTTGCTTTGTCTAGGGAATGCTGGTGGATTCTGTCTATTAGAATTTCGAACCAAATTTTCAATTTAATTCATGTGAAATTGTATCCGGATTTTTTAATTTATTGGGTTTTGTTGGATATAGGATGAGCTTTGTCCGTATTGATGGCATTACAATTTCCATGAACAATAACAGATAGAATCAGAAAGGAAGAATTGAATTTCAATTTTCAATCTAGTAATGTTTGATTTCAGTAGCCATTTTCTTGCGTTTGTGTAACTGTTTAGACATTTTGCTTAATTATGATTAGCTTCGGTTTTTTGAAAATTCTTATTAGTTCTGCGAGGTAATTGTTCGTTAGATGAGCGGTCGGTTGTTCTAATCTTCTTCTTTCCATGTGTATTATACTTTTGAATACTCTTTTTGTTATTTATATTTCAAGTACATCTTGGCACTAGTTGTGTGCTACTTTGAGTTGTGACATCGCACCCAAGTTATAGTGGGATGGAATTCCTACTGGGATTCATTGTGATGAAGAATGATGATCAGCCAGGTCAGAATAGGCTTCTGGGTTCAGTTTTTTGTGTCCTTAATAGCCAAATGATTTGAAACGTGTTGTGGTATTCAATTCAGGATAGGTTCTTTTTTTGGCAATAAAATGTGCTATTATTGATCTGTTAGTGGGTTATGGGATTTTGTTGAATGCCTCGTTAGTTTCTCTGCAGTGTACTCGGGTATACAAATACGTGAGACACCGCTTCTATTAGTAGTTTTCATCCGATAAATAACAAACGAAAAAGATGTACAGAAATAAAAAGGAAATCATGAGGGGTAAAAGGATAGTAGTCCAATTAATTTGAAGTTTTCTTGCTTAACAAGAGTGTGCATTACCAGTTACTTCTTTATCCTGTGATGTGCAGGTATATACAAATTTGTGTACCTTTTCAGGCCAAATAAAAGTTCTTGTGCCTTTTACTTATGTGTCCCTCTAACCCCTTCGTTGTTGATACTCTTTATTTCAAATTTCCCACAGAAGAATATTTCCTGGGCCTCTGTTCTCTATTTGTGTTCCTATGCTAGTGCGTGAGCATGTGCAGGTTTTCACGGATTTGCTAACATGCTGGAGGACATGTCAAATAGCACCACTAATCTTATCTTGACAATGTTGCCTTGTGTAGTTTTATCATTTCGTTATTTAGAAGAAAAAGTATTGTGTTTCCTTGACTAGATTGATGTAGTACTGAATTTTTATTTATTGTATTCCTTATTCAATCTTATGTAATCTTCAAATATTGGGCTTTACCTTGAGTCTCTCTGGGTACTCTCTCTCTGTTTTGTGCAACAGTTCATGGGTTTGACAGAAAGATTACTGATAAACATTGTTTATACTTCTGAAACAGGTATATTTGTATGGGGGTCAAGTTACATCATGGAGAAATGAATATGGGGAAGATTTGCTTTTCGTTAGTAGCAAGGTATAAGATTTCAGTATGTTGCCCAGATTATCTTATGTCCTATGTAGGGTTGCAGTCATAAAGGTGCTTGATATTTGATGCTATCCTAACTCTCTAGGGTTGGATGTTAATGCCTTTATGGAGGTTTTAACTTGTAGTGGTTGAAAATTGTAACATTGTGATTATGACAGATACAGATTCTTTATTTTGTCTTTTGAATTCCTTTATCTCTTGCTTACTTTGATCTACGTCAAAATATCTTCTCAGGAAACAATAAGAAAAAGTAAACAATTAAAGTTGGATCAAATTCTAGGCCAGTGTTATATTCTCATTATCTTTGAAAGTATACAGGTAGGAGGGAGTGGGAGTGATAAATGAATAAAGCCCATAACTCTGTAATTTGGTAAAGGTCATGGAGCATGCTATTATAGAGCAAACTATGTAGACTAATTATATTAAATCCTTTTGCTAATACAATTTTAGATATATTTTGATTGCATGCATATGTGCGAACTGAAAAAAAAGGAAGGCACATTTTTAAAATAAGAAAAAGCTACAGAAAATTGAAAGTTGGGTGGCTTTGGAAAATGCTACTTCCCATTCACCAATTATTTTTCTGTGACCTTTTATTTCCTTTCCCTTTTGTAAACTATAAATAAAGTCCATTTGTCACTATTTATATTTGAGGGAAGTAAATAATCAATGATGACACTTCAGACCTCCACCTCCTTCTCTGACAAATTGTTTCCTTCGTTGTCTCTTGCCTCTCTTTTTTCTGTAAAGCTCTAAGACAATGAGAAAAAATTGAAAAGGCTATGGGGGGTGTGGAAAATGGTACTGATTTTGGAAAGACGTGAAGTATGGTGAAATGTTACATAGTCTTGCTGCAGTAGGAAGATGTGTTTGTGTGACTGTGGAGGCTTGCATAATAATCCTGTTGCAGCCGTATCAGGGTACTCCAGGCTTATTATGAGTAGAAAACAGAGAGACCTTTGTAGCTTTGAGAGGACATATAATTAAAAGAACCAAACTCAGATGATGGAAATTTGGAGAATGGATGTTGAGAATCATACAGATGTCTGCTATGTGTTATGTCAGTTCCACCACCCATGTCTAATATTGGGTCTCAGTAGGTAATGCTTACTGATCTAGCATAGCTGTGAGTTTTTTCCCACCTTTTCTAATATAAATTCTTGCTTCTTGCAGGCTACTTATAAGTCTCCTAAGGCTATCCGTGGCGGAATCCCAATATGTTTTCCTCAAGTAGGTGTCCTTTATCGATTATCTCTACTTTCATTCTTTGGTTACTTTTCCTTTCTATTTGTTTTGAACATAAATAGTGTTCATATGCAGTTTGGAAGTCATGGTTCTCTTGAACAACATGGATTTGCAAGGAATAGGCTTTGGAGTATTGATCACAATCCCCCGCCTTTCCCAACAAACAGCGGTAACAAGGCTTTCATTGATTTAATCCTCAAACCTTCTGAAGAGGATGCAAAGATCTGGCCTCATAGGTATTTTACTTAAAGTTGATAATTGCATGTTTACGTAAGCTGTAAGGTAGCGTGCCATTTCTTCCTGGTGGATGGAACAGGCAATTGTCAACTCTGTGCTCGTGTATACATACACACACACACACACACACACACACACAACCACATACAGATACACGTCATATATGGTTATGGGGCTATCTTGCACAACCAGTTAATTAAAATACTACTCTATGGTCTATGAAGTGTTAGATTTTAAATATGTCAACGCCTCTTATTCATATTTTTTATTGCTGGATACCTGTTTGGTTGAATTCTAATTATTCAGTGGATCTCTGTTTTGCATTGCTTGGTTATAATGATGTAATAGCAATTACTTGCAGATATGAATTTCGCCTTAGGGTAACTTTGGGACCAGGAGGGGATTTGATGTTGACTTCTCGCATCCGAAATACAAACACTGATGGAAAGTCGTTTACATTCACATTTGCCTATCACACCTATCTGGCTGTAACTGATATCAGGTTTAAAAATACAATTTCTTGCCGTTGTTTGAATTGTTTAAATCAAATAGTTTAGCGTTCCTGCATGGTTTTCTTTGACAAGAACTGGAAGGCATTGTAGACATATGCTATTATATTGCTCGCCGTCTTTGCTGTTGTTTAAGCATTATATAAGCCATATATATATATTTTTAAATACCAGTTGTAATTCCTGTCAGATTTCAGATTGTGAGAATGGAAGGGATAAAATGATATGTTAGGGTAACATTCATTCGATATGTTTAAGTTTTGACTTTTGATCTGTTACAGTAACATCCATTTCTAAACATTGCAAGACATATTCTGGTAGCCAATTAATCTGAATATATTGTCTAATAATATTAAAGAATTTCAGGGGAAATTTATCACACATTTTTCTGTGTATGCAAGTATGAGTGCATATCATGTATGGGTTTATAACATTATGGAAGTCCCTGTTTTGAAATTTTGTAATGAGAAATAAACTACATAAGTCATGAGAAACCTTTCTCTTGAAATATGGCAGTAGACGTTTTGGAGGTCCATTGCTTACTGATGATTCAATGGCAAATTCCTGGTGTTTTCCTGACGGTGTTTATTCCATCTTCCTTTGAAAGTATTTGTCCCTGTTTTCTTAATAAGTAGTAGAGCAGTAGATAGTTTAATTGACAGAATTTAGTAAAGTATTATTCGAATTTGGATATTCCATAGATGAATTTCATAGTTGGCATCTCTACTCCGTGTGAGAGACCTGTTTAATGCATACCTATGGATGAATCATGTCAGACATGGTATACATCCCATTGGAGGCCTCTATGTGCGTCTAATCCATGGCTGGAAAGTTTTCCTTTCTGTTGTTTATGCATCAAAATAATCCATGGTACAGAGTGTCTTGGGGGGTCTCTGCATCAAAACAATCCTTCTCTGTAAAGTGTTCCTTGTGTTTGTGCATTGACTGTCATGTTGCTTTTATATAGTGAAGTGCGGGTAGAAGGACTGGAGACACGGGATTATCTGGATAACCTGAAGAATAGAGAGCGATTTACTGAGCAAGGGGATGCAATAACATTTGAGTCTGAGGTTAATGTTTGAAGGATTGATGTTTTCCACTGTTGTTTTGGTTCTTATTTATGTTTATTTGTTGCTAAATGATGGTTTTTATTGTCAAGGTGGACAAAGTTTATCTCAGCACGCCTACAAAAATTGCTATTCTGGACCATGAAAGGAAGAGAACATTTGTGTTACGGAAGGACGGGCTTCCAGATGCTGGTGAGTTTTGATCAGTCAATTTCTTTTGCTACAAAACTATTATGTCAAGGAATTTATGAAGAAAATCTGCAGTTTTAGACATGCTTTTATGAGGTTTTTAGACTTTTAAAAGAATTGACAAGAAGCCATCTGTCTTATCCATGCTAGATATTAAGTCAATTGAGTAAATGTGGAAGGTCTGCGTGTTTCATTAAAGGGCTTACGGGCGTACGAAACAAAAGTCATCTTTAGTGTTAATCAGATTGTCCTTTTCCGTTGCAGTTGTCTGGAATCCGTGGGATAAGAAAGCAAAGGCAATTACTGATTTGGGGGATGATGAGTACAAGCATATGCTGTGTGTCCAGGCTGCTTGTGTGGAAAAGCCTATTACTTTGAAACCTGGTGAAGAATGGAGAGGAAGGCAGGAACTGTCTGCTGTCCCTTCCAGTTACTGCAGTGGACAACTTGACCCACGGAAGGTACTGCTAGGCGGTTCATGATGAGCTATTTTGATACATCTATTGTACAGGTAATTACTGAAATAAAATATACCTTTTCTACCTCCATTATTGGTTTGAAGATCATCGTGCTAATAGATAGGACTGCACATGCATGGCGGGCATGTGTTTGCGCATGCTTTTTATGTAACTCTCGAGTCGTCCTAGTCTTGACATGGAGAACTTCAAAACAATTTCTACTAGACCTACCAGTGTTTGTGTGTTCTGATAAAGTAGCGAGTTCTAAACTTTGTAGAAGACTTGTTCTTACTTAACCACCGGTTGTTTCATCAAAAATAAGAAAAAGAACAAAGAAATCACCAGGTTACACAACCATAGACATTTTAGCCCCCGTGTTTAAACATGTAGCATTGATCATGGCCTATAGTCATGATCAAAATAGGAATGTCTTTACAAAAATTAATAATTTCCATTATCAGTTGGATTTCAGTTTCGCTAACCTTTTCAAAATAGGAATGTCTTTACAAAAATTAATAATTTCATTCAAGTATTTTGCTTATATTTTCTTTCTATTGTTTCCTTTTGCGACCAAGTGGTGATGACTATTATATAAAGGCATTGCAGGCACAATTTGCATTCGAGGTTTGGCATGATTTTTCGGTTGGATGGCAGATTCATTACAAAGCCGAATCTGTCTACAAGGAGTTTCATCGGATATTTGATTAATGCAAGAACACGAAGGTCAGTTAAAGAAAATTTAGTTAATTATTTGTACATCTATAGGGACTCTCTACCAAAGAAACAAAGAGGAGAAAGCAGAAGGCATTTTCGCTCCCCCTTTGTTTTCTGGCCTTTCACAATACTCCTTTTAATCGAATTATAAACCGAGATGATTGTATTCTTTTCTGTCGATGAGTATTTTGTCCGCATTGAACGATGGTTCTTGTAATTCTCTTTATCTTTGGAAGCGTAACGTTACCGAACACTCGATGGATTGGTTCGTTTGCAAGATTTTGCACTGTGATTTTTAGTTTGTTTCATAGATGATATTTTATGCATTTTTTAACTTCTTTTTTAATTTCTTGGGGGAGAAGTTACTGTTTGGTAGCAGAATTTTGTTTTTTTTTCATTTGGAGTGGTTGCAATTGTGAAGATGAAGAATTATTTTTCTTTAATCTTTTCTTAACTCTCTTTTACCTAAACCCTAAGCCCTAAACATTTGTCGCAATGCAAACAATTAAGGTGTAACTTGCGCACTGATCTCTAATTTGTTATGGATTGGAAGTTTAATAATATTCATGGTGGAAAAATACTCCACTAAGTTGTTGCAACTAGTAATAGTGACGGTAACACTAAAGAGTCTTATGGTTTGACAGGATAATGGATTTGGGATTGTGAAATTTTCTTCCACATGTTTGGTGTGTCCAAGATTGGAAATAAAATTTTACGAATTCACGGAAATTTGTAATTTAGGATCTACAGCCTGCGGACGGAGATGTCTAGAGTTGCGTTTTTTGGGGTTGTCGCTCACACAGAGCGACATGACCTCTGATTAGGGTTTGATTTTTTTTTTATTTTTTATTTTAATTATTAGTCAATTTGGAGAATAGTGATTCTATTATTCTTACAAGGAGGTGATACTTATACAACAGAGGGCAATCAATCCCGGACAATAAGGGAAATAAATCTAATTACAATAATAACCCCTACAATCAGGAATCTTAAGTATACAAAAGTCAACAAAAACATCGCAAAATTGAAGTCTGAATGATTTTCAAGTCTCTCTTTCTATTTCCTTTAGAACTTTATTGTCGTCATTAGTAAAGATCACGGCCTCTAATTGGAGAGAGAGAGAGGACTAAAGATGAGGTCAGCTAATTTTTAGGTTTTAGAAGTTTCAATATTTACAAAACTACTCGCAAATGTCTTTGACATTTACAAAAATGCCCCTGCTGTGTCTTGCGGCTATGGAGTTTGTAGATTTAGGGTTAAGAGGAAGGAGAGAGGATTTCCAACATACTAAATATTGAGTTTTAAGTAATAGTGAAGTCAATGTCAACAATTGAGTGAGAGAAAAGACGAGCATAAGAAGATAGCTGATAGCTAGCATCTTTCAACTAAGTATCCGTAAATCAGCAATTTGAATCTCCTGAATCATATATAATGTAAGTTCAGGTTGGAAGTTCATGGCATCCCTGAAGATGGGCCAACAATATTGTGAACTCTATAGCTTGATAGGCTTTCTCGTACCATCACGTACGTAATATATGCTGAATGTTATTTTCGCCACAAGTACACATTATACAGGGACTAGGAAGGCTCTTAATTTCTTTCATTTTTCTGGGAGAATATTATTTATATTTACACATACGTCGTGCCGTATTTCATCCATCTTATACTGCGATTGACACCTACAACAGTAGTGTGCCACTGCAAGTGTTGGCAACAATTTGGCTGTAAAATATGATGCCAATAATGTGAGATGCTGGACAGCAGCAGCGACAGCAGCACATTATTATTATATGTATTATCTGATTGGGGTCCCATGAGTCTCATTGTTTTTATGCGCATGCATGATTTGAAGAGAGCGGTGAGGTTTTACTACTATTATTGTTAGAAGACCACTCGAAAATTCTCCGGAAGGGTCTCTGTCTTTGGTGCTTGCGTTTGGCCGGCGGGTGGTTGTCTGTGTCTCCACTCAGCATCTGCCACATCACTTGCACATCTTGATACCCACATGTTTGTACGTCATCGTGAAGCTTCAAAAGCCCATCACCTGCGTCCAAATTCAACCACACAACTTTTTCAATTATACTTAATAAAATCTGAAATATATTGAAACTATATAGAGTGGTACGGGTTTTGTGATTTCGACATCAAGGTTGCATCAGTAAAGATGTTGATCCTATCTTTAGGCCTCAGCTTTCGGCTCAAGGACGAAACGAAAGATTGGTCACTTACCACAGTCCCACCCATTCTGAGTTGGAATAAAAAATAAAATAAGAATGGTCCCTAAAAGTATATATCACTTTAAAAGGTCTCAAATCACTAATTATGACACACTTTTGTCAATTTTATACCGGTACAACTACTATGATACGTACTATTTAGTAATACAAATTTTATACAGGATCCAACCGTTGTAAGGATGCATCAGATCCTTATATATCTCCATATCCAAGATCTAACCATTAAAATTCTAGACCACTGAATATTATGTATCATGAAACAAATTCGTCTAGGTCTCAAGTGTATTCCTCCAAATCTGCAATGGGATCTTTCAATGCATAATTTCTATCTTAGTACTCTCAAGTTTTCTAATTTTCTAATTTTACAATATTCCAAAGTTTATTTCATCTCACTTTCGTACCATTTTCATACATCAATTATTCTTTTCATCAATAATTGACGGGAAGAGAAGAAGAAAAACCCTAAGACCTTAAAGAGAAACCTAGACGAATGATACCATGTAGAAATATGACTTTGTGTAGTAATGTGTGTAAATATTGCAATATATATAGGACTAAACAATTTCGTTTTTTTTTTAATAGGAATCCCTTAATAACTAAAATTGAAAAATTATAGAGTAAAGTACAAAAAACTACTTCAACTATTGATGTCACGATACTTTCATACATCATCTTTTAACATTGACAACGTCATACCTCATATTTAGAATTCGATCCAATGTTATGCCTTCTGTTACTTGATTGTTTACTTTTCAGTTAAATGTTGACGTGACTTGATTCGGAACCCATTTTCTATTAAAATATTATTAAAAAATAAAAAAAATGATTAAATATTTTTAAAATAAAGAACAGTATTAAAAAAAATATTTTGAAAACCCATCCCGCCCCACCCAAAAAAAAGGCCGGAAGAAGAAGAAGAAGGGAAAAAAATAAAAAAAAAAAAACCCAAACCAACCCCCTGCAACCCAGAAAGAAGGAGGAGAAGAAGAAGGAAAATAAAAAAAATCCAACGCGAACCCCCCTCCCCCGCCCCCCCCCCCCCCCCCCCCCCCCAAAACCCACCCCTGCCAACCCCAAATCCACCACTCTCATCCATTCTCCACATCCTCTTCCGCACCCATCCTTTGCCTTCTCTGCGCACCCATCTTCCCGCTGAAGGGATCTGGGTTTTTTTTTTTATTTTCTTTTTTTTTCTGGGTTGCAGGAGGGGGAAGGGGGGGTGGTGGGGAAGGGGGAAGACAAATTGGAATTTTTTTTTTTTTTTTTTGGGTTGCAGGGGGAAGAAGATGAAGATGGGGAATAAGAGAAAGGAGGGGGGAGGGGGAGGAACCAACTGAGGGGTTTTTTTTTTTTTTTTTTTTTTTTTACTTTTCTTTGTTATTTTAATATTTAAATAATTTTAAATATATTTTTTTTAGTTTTTAATAATATTTTAATAGATAATGGATCTCGAATCAAGTCACATCAGCATTTAATTGAAAAGTAAACAGTCAAGTAATGGAAGGTATAACATTGGATCAAGTTTTAAAAATGAAGTATAATATTGTTAATTTTAAAATATGAGATATGAAAGTATCGTGACAATAATAATTAAGATGATTTTTTATATTTTACCTAAAATTATAATACATGCAATAATTACGAAGATGATTTTGAATTTATTTCCATTAATCTAACAGTCCTCCATTAATTGAAGAAGTGGCGCATTTTGTCCCACCAAATTTGTTCCACGTGGGGTGATATAAAGGTCAGTCATGTCACCAATCAATGAAAGACTTAACGAATAAACAAATGGATGTATGAAAGTAATAGGAAAATCAATGTTTGAGGCTTTGAGTACGAAAGTGAGATAAACAAAATAAACATTTAAATACTAAAGGCAAAAAAATTAAAAACATTATGAAAGTAAAATGGAAGTTACTCTTCAGCGAGAAGTCTTAGATTCGATTCTCGTTAAAAACAAATACGAACTAAATTAATATGGCTAGTCTATATCAAATGTATTAAAAAAGTCAAAATTAAAAAAAATGCCTTTTTTTCTTTAGGGCCTGTTTGCAAGAATTTAAAATGGAAAATAAAACAATAACTTTGCGGAAGGTTTGGTGGAATTCATCATTATGTTGGGGAGAACTTCCCAAATGGTGGAATCAAAACTTGTCTTCTCAAATTTCTTAAAGTTACTAAAATTAAAATTTTCACTATTTTTAATTTTTAGTGGGGAAGGCTGAGTGTTTTTTTATTACATTTGGATGTGAACTGAAATGAACAAGCATCAGATCACTAGACTTTGCTTTTCTTTCTAATTTGGCTAAGTGGAGTAACAGTAAGCTCCATTACCAGTACCTCTTAATTAATTATTAAAATGAAGGTAAAAAAAAAAAAAAAAACCACTCATAACTTTTAGGTAATGGACCCTCATTTTGACTAATGTTTTTTTGGGTACGAACAAATTCATTTACCCAGGCACCGACAAAATTTAAATGTATTGTATCATCCATTAAATTTCCCTTTGATTGAAAACTATAACTTAATTGACTTAGTATTACGGTCCAATGATATTCAATTTATAAAAGACAGAGATATAGCTATAAGCTCAATGGGCTATAGCGCCATAGCCTAGTGCAATTCTTGGAAAAATTAGAAATTACTACCATGATTTAGCCTAAGTTTGTGAAAATAAAATTTTAGCCCATCCAAAATCTAATTTACACTCCATACTTCAAGACAAGGAAAATATTAGCCCACTCCTATATAAATTTCTAGCTCTGCCGTTATTGTAAGTAAGGTCTTAAATTCGACCCCTTTAGAATGAAAATTTAACAGTAATTTATTGTAACTGACCAATTGTGTGATTTAATCTAAATTTTGCATCTTTTAGTGTAAATACATTATTGTATTAACAAATTATGTGAATTCACATATACTTTTGTCTACAGGGGTAAAGTAAAAATATTCATTTTTTTGTCATGTTCATCATGGTAAGATAGCGAACTTGATGATGTTATAATCATCAATGATTAGATTTTCTTGTGGCCTTTTCTAGAAGTTTTGATACCTGTGGATGATTAAAAAAATGTTCAATGTACACAACCTAGAGAGATAGGGGAGATTTTCTAGTGTGCCGAATACACAGTCCAGTATATCAAGTGTCATAATACAAGTGATTCCGGCACACTAAAATTTCCCCAGAGATAGAGCCAATCATATTATTGTATTGCCTTAGGTAGAAGAATGTTCTTAAAATAATTCTAAATATGGCTGATAAATAAGGGACCACAAATCAAAAATTAGAGAAGTGGGGGAGGTTAGCCAAACATGACACCTATTAGAAAACGTTATATAATACTCAGTGATGTAGCAAAAATGAAATAAGAAAAAAGGGAATCCTATCAGCACTAACATTACTCATGGATTAACATTAGAAATCAAACCGGTTTGCAACAACCACTTTGAATCAAAATTAAAGATACAATTTTAATGTTATGTGTCATTCAGTGTTACTGGTGTTTTAACCATTAAATTTGAATTTCACAGTTGTTAAATATTTTATTTTTGATCTCGTATGTTTATATTTATTTTTCATATCATTCATGGCCAAAAAAAGTGCAAAATAAAGGAAAATTTGTTTGACAAAGAGGAATGAAATTAAAACATGCTTCCTATGAACGCAATGAAAAGGAAACAGAAGAATACAGAGACGAGGAAAATGATAGAATAAAAAATAAAAAATGTGGGAGCGTCTATCTATATGAATTATGAAGCTTAATATCTAGCATGGAAAATTGTGAATCATCCACCACCAAGTTTTCCAAGAGAATAAATAAATAAATAAATGGATTAGGTGTAGCTGGCTTGTAGGGTTAAGATATAATTCCAAGTGCTACACATATATATGCAGCAGATTATGAATAAAACAAAACTATACATAGATAAACTGAGAAAGAAGAAGAAGAAGAAGAAGAAGATGATGATGATGATGAGATGATATATAAGTGAGTGACTGACCATTTTTGCGATCCTTGACACGAGTAGAGACGGCAAGCCAGACACGGCGGACAGGGAAGATCATCTTGTCCCAAAAATCCATCAACCTTTCTTTTGTCACTTTTACTTTCTTTCTTCCTTTCCTTTTCCCGCCACTCACTCTAACTGCTGCTGTGCTGCTCCTTATCCCTGCCAGACCTGCACTCTCTCTCTCTCTCGAGAATTATTAAGGATGACACAAAGAAATGTTTTTACAGAGACTGAAGAGAGATTAAGAGGGAGGCGACTTCGAACTCAGAGAGCTATTGAAAACCTATATGTACAGATGCAGTGCTCACCACCACCAATAAGAACCACCGACACATCTTTCTCTCTACTCCTCACTGTTCATTATATTCTTTATTTAAGCTCTACTTTTTTGTGTAAGAATAAGACTTTTTAATTATGTTGGTCTACAAAAATACATCTTCAAATATATATGATCTCATTAGTTAGAACTAGCTAGGTCGACGAATTCTTAAAGAAAAAAAAAGCAATTAGGTAGTATAGATATATTTTTACATTTTGATGTAGAAACGATCAGTGTTTATTGTATCTTCTTTGTATAGTCGTTATGTTATAATTTTGTCGTCGATATATGATAAATATGTCCTTATAATTGAAAAATAATTATTCTACAAGTTAAATTTGATATTAACTATTTCTGCATCTTGCAATACTGACAAGACTATTGCTGTTTTGAGAAACAAGTTGTGAAATTCCAAAGGTACAAAATTATCATTTTGCCCCTCACCTTGAAATGTGCGCAACTCATTCATAAAAACGAGTACTATCTAAATAAAATGAGAAAAGAGTAACAAGTGAAAAAAACTCAAATGTCCACGCATGATCTTCACCTAAGACTTTCACTTAACCCGCTAATGATATTGTAGGATAATACTAGAAAAACTAAATTTGGAGACTAAATTTGTAAACTAAATAATGTGTCGCCAATAGAAATGAGCATATTTATCAACGCTTAAGTAATAAATCAATCATCAACTTTCATGTCTTTTAATTTTTAACATTGAATTTATAAATTTAGTCTCCTTAATATTACTTTTTTTTTGTAATTTACAGAGTCTGAGGACAAAATCTAATAAAATAATAAAAATAGGGATGGAATGTAGCATCATCTCCATTTAGTCACCGTTCATGGTTTCCATTAGTCATCCTGCAACTACCATATAATAAAAGGAACTCTCATGTCACAATTATTTTGTCTTCATGTCAACTCATTTCATAAAAAGTCTTTGGTGCGAGTTACACGTGGCCCGTGTTTCTCAAAATTAAATATTCAATTAATGCTTGTTCACTTGTATTCAACACGAAAGTCTCGCTAACTTAAGTTACGTAAAATATTCAAAATGACCTTATCAGTTGTATTGTGCAAGAACTAAGAACAAAAAGGAAGTAAAAAGGAATTAAGAAAGGGTAATGTTAGGAGATTAAACTAAGAACCAAAAAAAGTAAAAATGAATTTAAAACGTGTAATGTTAGGAGATCAAAATTTTAAATTAATTTTTGTCAATTATATGATAGTTATGGATAATTAAATTATTAACTAAATATTAATTAACGTGTTTATTTTCTATTAATGTTATATCCATTAATTTATAAATTTCGTTTACCTAATATTATTCTTTAAGAAAATGACATGCACTAACACAATTGATGATACACACTCTCTCTCGTCTTGATATGAAAAGTTGGTAAGATATTTTTGTTAGTGTAATTATAATGTTCTGGCCACGAAGAGAAGATTAAAATAATAATAATATATTATATGGACCATTTCCAATTGAAAAACAAATTTCCTCCGATCCCAAAAATACGGTGTTGTTTCAATATCATTATCTTCCCTTCCTCCAAGATAAATGAGTCGATTATATAACTTATTTGGGATGAGAAAACAAAGAATTTATGTATAGTGCTACGTATATGCCTGCCTATATTCTTGAAGATTATAACCCATACGCATGCAATATAAAATAAAGGTATATAAATGTTTAGTCCACTAGACTAAGGGCTGGTTTAATATTGATGTGCTTGGAAAAAAAAAAAACTGCTCTGCTGTACTGTAAGAATAAACTCATTTTTTATGTTTCACGTTTACAGTTTTTTTCCATCCAAAACTGTGAAAATAAGCTGTTTTTAAGTATATACCAAACACCTTTTTGAGTTCAGCTTTTTTTTATACCCACTTTTTATAAAAGCACTTCAATACCAAATTAGTACTAAGTCCATTAATAATAGTAGTTAAGCAGTAGTTCGGTGACTGCAGAGAAAGGTTTGATGAGAATATATTAGGCCACTACACTAATTATACTAAGACCAATAATGCTAGAAGTAGCTTGCAAAATAGAATTGTTAGTCTAATAATATATTTTGAAAATATGACTGCAAATTCTTACACTGCATGCTTTTAGTAGAGGGAAGAGGAAGATGAAAATGGTAAACACACACACACACATAAATCTCTCTCTGATATGAGGACATGCTGTCATGACGATCGTAATATACCTTAAAAAAATTACAGCGCACTGATTTTGGTCATTGTATAGTTTGGACAGAGCTCCACTTTGCTCTAATATGTAGTTTCTACTGTTGTGATTTAAATTCGTAGTGTATTAGTATTATGATTTATATAACTTCTACTTCACTTTTTTAGTGCGAGGTATGATGTTAGATATTTTTGAAAGGCGACTTCGATATTAATTTTTTATGACTTATTATGTGGTTTAACTTAAATCTCTCATACCTTAATATATGGGGAAAAAATTATGTAAATAACAAATTCGATATACAAATTTGAATAAATTACATCACAGTGCAACAAATTTTCCATTTTCCTGGACCTTTGTGTATGTTTTTTCTAACTTAGACTGTGTTTTGTCCGGGGTCCTACTTTTCGCTCTTCTTTTGTTTAACCCAAAATTTTGAGTAAGCAAATCAAAGCGGAAAATCCAATCAGATCCATGGCGGGTTTGATTGTTTGAATTCATCTCAACTTTTTCTTCTATGAATACAGAATTTGGTAAGCTTTCTGGTCAAGAATCAAAACTTCCAATGTAGTGTCGGCAAGCTCTTGTCCACGTGTTCCATACCCTATGGCGGGAGAACGCTTGGCTGTCGAGGGAGATGAAGCTTTTGATATTTTCTAATACGACACGCCATAATTCTTATTCTTTATGAAAGGTGTTCCATCTTTTTACGTGATCTTGGAACTATCATATCCACTTCACAGTGAACAAACGTGCCTATAGCAAATTCACCTAAAGCGAAACTACAAAACTTGCCTATAGTGAGACCAAACAACTCACATTGAGTATGGAGAAATCTTACATCCTTGTTTGAAAGTTAAACTAGTGACCTAGTTTTATCCCTTAACGGACATCTTACCCCTAAGCGCCAACTCTCTTCAAAATTACGTTTGAATTAATGACATGGCATGAGTATTTTTGTGAAATCTTGCCTCAAATTTTAATGATGTATTTCATTAAGAAAAGATTTTAAAATTTTAATTAACTTTCTTTCGTTAAATTCTCATGTTTAATCTAAGTAGGATTACACTTGACTTTGAGGGACCGAAAAATCCAATTGTCCTTTGGAGTTTGAATTGGGACTAGATGGATAACTCTCAATAACGTAGGTAAAAACGTGTCCAATTCGGAGCTAATAACAAAGAAATTAAAGGAGTTTCAAGTTGAATACTTTGATAAATTAGAAAATTCCTTAACAAATCCAGTCTTCTCCATTTATCAGTGTGGCACATGAGATCATGACATGGTAAATTTGTATCGTCCGATCACTATTTATGAAAATAGAGTACCATGTAGGAATGTCGTGCACGAGATCTGACCTGGTACATTCTTATCGTGTGTTCACTACTTTGGAGATTGGTTGGTCTTCTAGTACAAGCATCATCTCCATTCATTAGAGTTATAAAGTCATAAGAGGTGATCATGCTTAGTTAATCTACAATGGGAGATCACTAACTCTTTAGTAAGCAGGATTTGGTGTTGTTCATGTTGGTACACGACCCCATAAGTTGTAAGCATCAGCCAAATTATGTTGCTTCAGCCCTAGCTTGTACTTTATTATAAATATGAAAAAGAAGATTAAATACATGTGGGTGAAAAGAGTGTTCAATTAAACAGTAAATAGTATTAACCAAAAAAAGTTTTAGACAGTATATGGTGTGAGAATATTATAATTGTTTTAACAATGAGAACCATAGTGTTAGAAACAAAAGGATGATGAAGTATCTTTCATGCTGTGAATGGTGTTGAAAATTTGAAATTTCGACACAATCATGCAACTTCCTTATTGGGTTTATTCTTGAGCATAATGAAAAGGAGATTAAGCATTTTTGTCAGATCAAATGTGCGATATTATCTAAGCACCAACACAAGTGATGCCATGCCAACTAACCACATCATTTTCTTAACTTTGAATTTCAAATTAAGCACACGATTAATCAGGACCACATCATTTTAGAGTTAAAATCCAATAAAATAATAATTATATATTAAGCATCTTGCTTTATCAAAGGCATCCACGCTTTAATCCATAAATACAATTAGTGCTTCCACATTTGGAAGGGACTTTTCACGATATCAAGCTCAAACCCTTGACACAAATGAAATGATGACAAGAGAAGCTTTTGCCCAACTAAGTAATAATGTTAGAGCTACAATAATTTCTAGCTTCCCCATAAGGAGGAAATTCCTCATAACTAAAAATGTTCATTATCTTTATCATCATCCAAACTTTGTTTCTAGAAAAATTTATTCGATTTGGAGATAGTTTATTCATTCATATATATCAAACAAACTGATAATTATGAGAATAACTAGTACCATCATTATCTAAGCTATAATGCAGATTAAACCAAAACTCAAATTTGAATCAATTAAAAATTATGACATATTTTTATTTTCTTTTTTTGATATAACAAGATTAAGGGAATGGGGGATTGAACTAAGCCACTCAATGAACAAATCATACTAATTTGGTTCGAACACGCCTTTAACAAGAATTTAATTTAAGACCTCTCATTTATTTAAAACTATTGATATTTCAACATGTATAATCCATTTTCAAAGTTGTCATTTTTTTTTTGAGGGTAAAATGTGACATCCCGTCCCAAAATCTCGGAAACTCTCGTGTGAAATTACTATTTTGCCCCTAGTTTGTTCTTTTACGTTTATTGGTTGTTTTGTTGTTGTGCTGGCATGTCCTTGGGCCACACACACACCCCCATACCTGCACCACCTTCTGTCACTCTCTCTCTCTCTCTCCCGAGCCCCATTTCCTTCCTCTTCCTTCTGAAAGTGTACGGACACACACACAAACACATCCAATCACTTGCAGATCGAGGGAACCAAGACCACCCTTGTGCTCGTGAGGCTGAGAGGAGTCCAGTGGTACCATTTTCAGGTAAGGTTATAGCTGTTTTCACGTCGATTCGACAAGGTCCGTTTTAGTTACTATTCATGCAAAATTAACCTAGCACGTTTTTGGGATTTTGAAGCTCGTAGATGAATTAATGAGGTTCCAAGGAGCCTCGGAGTGCTTCGTTGGACGTATTTGGACGTCGGGA